GTCCCTCAAAAGAAAAATATCAAATTTTTTTCCAATTGAAGTTACAGCCATGTTCCATACAATTTTGAGTACCTCTTTCATATATTTTGGGTTCCCAGTAATAAAAAACAAAAACAATTGATAAAAATCCTAATCATTGAAAATAGAGCCCAACACACGCGCCCGCAAAACCTCTTCCAATATTTTTTTTTTAATAAACCTTTATCAATCATATAGTTTTCTAATGTTGGTGGACTAAATTCGTTTTATTCGATTTGTGGCGTTTTGGGTTTTTCGTCTTGTTCTTCTTCTGTCATTTCCAATATCAGACACCTGCATGACGTTCATGTGTCTGGCTGTGTGTGACTTTGTGTGAATTTTTGTCTATCTTTTATTAAGCAAAAGACCACAAATTATGACTTTCTTTAGATTATATTAAACATTTTCAAGTCAGTTGTAGACGGTGTTTTGTTAAAGAAAGGTTCGTTCGTTTCTTTTTCAAAAAGAAAAAAATACCAAAATTTTTTATTAAAAAAAAAAAATGTTCTTTGGCCAATGAATCATTTCATTTTTCGTTCGCACACTCAGCAAAAATCGCATTAAATTGTTTCATTTAATCATAAATTTCAAGTGTTGTGATGTTGTGAAATTTATTTAAATAATCTGCCCCTTTCTCCCTCTCGCCCCACCCACTCTGTGAAAGAAATCTAAATAATCTCCCCAAATCCGTTTTTAATGACTTTAGAACACTTGAGATTATCTTAATTGTGGCCATTTCAAGTCGTCGTCGAGAGTAATTCAAATTGTGTGAACTTATAAACAAGTCAATCTGTGATAGGTTTCTGAAACAAAAAAAATGTTTGAACAGTGGTGTGGTGATGTGAAAATTCAAAAAATGTGTAGAGAAAAAAATGCGAATTTAACTATTACTTCCACTTTTATAACACAATTTTTGAGCCCTCAAAAAAAATGAAGCCTATTCTGGACTTCTGTATACTGTGACAGTGTTTTGAATAAATATTATTAGAATTTAAAAAAAATGAAATTGTTTACAACTATACTTCAAAATTGTATAATATTTTTTTTCGTGATATTTTGATTTTTATGGCGGTATACCTTCAATCTAGGCCTGATTTCTAAAGAGGGATTGTGTGATAATAAAATTTCTTAACACGTGTATTTTTTTAAAATGACCCTAAGCGGATATTTTCATTATAGAGATTGTTAACTCAATCTCGGATCCAAATTATTACATTTTTAATATTCAAAAAAAAAAAAAATAAATAAATAAAAATAGTAATAATAATAATAATAATAAATATATAAAAAATAAGTAAATAAATAAAAAATAAAAAACAACAACAATTGAAAAATAATTAAAAATGTGAAGAAGGTCGTCCGAAAGTGTTATTTTTTCGGACTTTACACCCAATGATGATAAAAATTCCCAAATATGTTTTATCTCCTAAAAGTGACTAACTAAATGCTTTAAAATATATCGGCAATTAATTTTGTTTTTTTTATCAATAAGACCACATGTCGATAACATAGAGTTTTACTAAACACAAGAAAACTAGAAATTTCAAATCGAAAGGTACAGCTGTACTTGGACTAATAATTTCGATACATTTTAAAAAGTGTGGGCCAACGAGTTATTACCAAAAATTACAAAAAAATAAAAAATCAACTCCAAATTAAAAACAGAAATATGGTAAATTTTCTGGAAAATCGCGAAAAACGTGTGAAAATTTGGAAATGTGGATAAATGTAAATCGATTTTTTCGAAAGTTTTTAACTCATCTACAATGTTAATGCTAGATTCATCTTCAATGGAGGTTTCATTCCTTCTAAGAAACAGGAAAAAACCAATTACGGAAAATTTAGACCTTTAAAATGACAAAACGTGGACCATTAGGGCCCATCATCGAGCTTCATCTAATCTGATTTGTGACTCAATCAATTTTGAATTTTACCCTAATCCTGAATATATTTTATAGGGTCAAGCATGATAATTTTTGAGAAGTTACAAATGGAAAGATAAAGTTAATATATCAGGGTTGACATAACTTCGGAATAAAAAAAAATAGAAAAAATCTAAATTCAGTCAGGTCCAACTTTTAATAATTTGAAATACTGACAAAAAAGCAAAAAAACAAAATATGTCTACAAATGCCAAGGTCCAGTATCCGTTAAAAATATATGTTAAAATCTTCGAATTAAATATCAGAGGGTTCCAATACCTGAGGGCAATTTGAAAACCTAGAACATATTGATAATTACCCGCCAAAGGGAGTGGCACTCATAACGAGCTTCAAACATCAAATTTTAAATATTTCTTAACAACAAAAAAAAAATAAATAAATAATTCTAAAATCATCCAATTAACGAACTTTGCGAGATACCATTATGTGGAGCCTATATGACAATATGGACCTGCATAGAGAAATATTTTCTAGTTAGACATACGGCAAACTCCAAAAAAAAAAAAACTTTGGAAAAAAAATTCCATTAATAATGTGGCAGACGTGCAATAAAATTTTGACTTGTATAGAGGAGAGGACATAGAGGATTCTCGGTTGGAAAATTTAATTAAAACCCCAAAAATACGTTTATCGTAGATTTATATGTCCCATTTTCAATAAAAAACAAGTAAAAAAACAGCTCAATTTCAATAAAAAATCTGTCGTAAAATACCGCTTAAAACTCCTATGTGGGAGGTATACGAAGACTTGGACCTGCATAAGTAATATTTTGTCATGGGCTGTAGTACCCATTTAGAGCCTAGATGATGTGTGGACAATATGGATATGCATAGAGACATATTTTTAAATATTGAAAACTCCAAATACTAACTTTGGAAAAACAATCCATTGAAAATGTGACCAGGTACAGGAGGTACGGTTATAGTTGAGTATGTAGCAAAATTTTGACTTATATGGATGTTCTCTGTTGGAAAATTTGATTAAAACCCCAAAAACACGTAAAAAAGCAGCTAAGTTCGGACCAGACCTAAATGTTCGGTCCCTCCACTATTTGGAAATGAAAACCGTTATATGGGGGCTATACGATGGCTTAGACTAGATGAATTTTTGTGATAGGTTGAAATATCCAATTAGACCTTCAAATACTAAATGTTAAACAATTCCAGTGAATAATATTGATAAAATCATCAAAATACCGAATATTGGGGCATACCGTTATATGGAGGCTATAAAAAGACGTGGATCTGCTTACACAATTTTTTGTCATAGGCTTTCGCAGTCATTACGAAGTTCAAATACGAAATTTGAAATAATTCTGGTTAATAATTTGGCTAAAATCATCAAAAACTAGGATGAATCGTTGTATGGGGGCTGCTATACGAAAACGTGGACTGACATTGCCCATTTACGTACTTCGCAAAATACACATGTGTGGAAATTTTAAGCCTTCTATCTCAATTCGATCGTAAAATAGCGTGATTACAACAGAAAGACGGACATCACTACTTAGGAGTTTACGCTGATCTAGAACATATATACTTTGTGGGGTTAACATGAGTATTTTGAGGAATGACGAAGTTCAAATGGAGGAAGATATAAAAATTCTACGGTTCTATATACTTAAAATACATCTGCATAAAATTGTATCAACCTTTTTAATTTTGTACAGAAACTATCGTTACTTCCATAGTTAGGCGGTTATGGCTAAATTGATTTTAGAAGGATAGAATAAAGCAAAATGAGCAAATCTCTATTGTTCCGGTTTTGCTCGAATAATGTCCCTTTGGACCATCCATCCGTCCGTCTGTCTGGCTGATGCGCACGATAACTTCCGAAGCGAGTATCCGATTTGATTCAAGTTTGGTACATTTTAAAATTATTGTCAAATTAAGAATGAGTTCAGAGATGGACAACATCCACTCCCCCACAACAATTTTTATAGAAGATAGATAGTCTTCCGTATGCAACAAAAACGGATCGTTCAATTTTACAAATCCCAATATTTGCATCAGAGCTATGTCTGTGGCGAAAATGCACCTCCCACAAAAAGGGTCAACATTTGAATAATTATAACTCTTATAAAATACGAAATAAGCCACCGACTCTATTCAAATTTTGCATATTCCAATATTTTTATTAACACAAGGTCTGACGCGAAAATGGAATATATCGGTCCACTCCTTCTGGTACCTCCCCCACAAAGTGTTATCGTTTTAAATAGCCATGAAGTTCATAAAATACATTCGATACATTCGATTCCATTCAGATTTGGCACAACTCAATAGTTCTATCAACATCAAATCTTATATAAAGATGATAGAGATCGGAGTGGTGTGAAGTTAAGATATATCGGTCCACTTTTTCTGATACCTACCGCACAATTGGTCAAAATTCTGATTAATTATTTACATCTCAAAGCATGCGAAATAAGCATCAGATTCTCTCCAAATTTTTTGTATTCCAATATTTTTACTAACTCAAGTGCAGGTGCGAAAATGATAGATATCGGCTTACCCCTTCTCGTGCCTCTCCCACAAAGGTTCACGGTTTGTAATACTTATATCTGTCTCATGAGTAGAAGTTTGGGATATATGACGGTTATTTTCTCCACAAATTTGCAAAATTATGTTTTATGAAATAACATAAAAATGTCCCACTTCCACACCATAACTATATTTACCTAATATTCATAGCCACTTTAGTGTTGATATGTTTGAATCGATCACAAAATATTTTTCGGTAATGGCAAAAATGAGGTTTCGGACAGCAAAACCAAATTCTTAATCACTGTGTTACATAGAAATATTTAAATGACTATCAGTTTTGGCAATTATTTAAAGTCAATCCAAAAACACCCACAAGATCTTCCAATTTCCCAGTTTACCATATTCCGATTTCTGAAGACCTTAATTATTCCCAAAATGTAAATTATATATTTTTGTAAAACATGACTTTAAAATCTCAAATAAATTAATCCAAATTGAAATGTGATACCATGATACTAATTCCCAATTTTTTTCTATTCTCCTCTCATTTCAGATACCACAGCTACAATTTTAAAACAGAAATCCAATTAGAACAACAACAACAACAAAGAGACCAACTTTGTTAATCTTATTTTTGTTTATTTTTCTTGGGGCTACTGTTTTTGTTGTAATTACGGATACAACAACAAGGGTAACCAGTAGCTTTTGCTGAACTACTTAGAAGTGCAACAACTACCAACCAACAACAACACACACACAAATCACAATGGCCTTAGTAATGAAATATATAAACATCATGAACAGATATATGGACACACATGGCGGTAAGTGTTGAGAAGTTTTTTTTCAACCTCAAGGAAAATTTTAGTTATTTAAAGTAATAGAAATTGAAATCGAGAAGTTTTGAAAAAAATGTAAATTAACCTTTAGCAAGTGGTCGTTTAGGGTTTTTAAAAGGGATAGATTGTTGGCTGTGAATATCCATTCGCATTTTAGCCTTTCCTTACAGCTAGAGTTGTGTCAATCTTGTTTCTCAGTTCAGTACACCAGTTCCCAAAACGTATGAGTGATTTCATAAATTTCATATAACTCATACGCAAAGATTTCCTACAAACGACTGGAGTCCAAGGAACACACCTTTTTATACCCTCATCCATATGGCTTGAGAGGGAGGGTATATATCTTTTGATACGGCCAAAACGTGCCTCATCGAAATAATGGTTTAAGACCCTAGGTCTCTTTGGACCAAATCCATTTCAGGGAATTTGGAGTTGATCTAGCCATGTCCGTCTGTCTATCTGTCTGATACTGGAGCACAATAACTCCCGACGGGACTATCCGATTTGATCCAAACTCGGTACCTCGTAATATTATTGTCAAACTTAGATCGAGTTCGGAGATGGACAATATCGGCTCACTCCTTCTCGTACCTCCCCCACAAAAAGTCGAAATTTAAAAAAATATATATTTTACTGCACAGAAAGAGAACGGATAATCCGATTTTGCTTCAACTTCGCAAATCCAAATAAATCTATCAGTGCTAGGTCAGTTGCAAAAATTGACAATATCGGTCCACTCCATCAAGTACCTACCCCACAAAGGGTCAAAATTCTGAAGAATTATAACTCTTATTAAATGTGATGTAAGAGTCCGATTATCTTCAAATTACACACATGACAATATTTTTATTCACCCAAGGTCTGGTGTGAAGATGAAATATATCGGTCGGCTCCGTCTGGTATCTCCTCCACAAAGGGTCAAAATTTTGAATATTCATGAAGCTCATAAAACGCGACATTAACATCCGATTCCATTCAGGCTTGGCAAATCTTCATATTTTGATCGACACAAGGTCTGTCATAAATATGGTAGAGATCGGACAATTTCTTTTGGTACCTCCCCCACTAAGGGTCAAAGTTTCGAATAACCAAAAAGAGCAAAAAATGCAAAATAAGCAACCGATTCTCTTTAAATTTCACACATCCTATTATTTCTGCTAACACAAGATCTGCTGTGAAATTGGGATGTATCGGTTCACTCCTTCTGGTACCTCCCCCACAAAGGGTCTAAATTTTGAATATCCATAAAGCTCATAAAACGCGAAATTAACATCCGATTCCATTCAGACTTGGAACATCTCAATGTTTCCATTAACACAAGTTCTGTCATGAAGATGGTAGAGATCGGGCCATTCCTTCTGGTACCTCCGCCATGAAGGGTCCAAATTTTGAATATTCATGAACCTCATAAAACCAAAATTAACATCCGATTCCATTCAGACTTGGCAAATCTTAATATTTTAATCGACACAAGGTCTGTTATAAATATGGTAAAGATCGGACAATTTCTTCTGGTACCTCTCCCACAAAGGGTCAAAGTTTTGAATAACCAAAACGAGCATAAAATTCGAAATAAGCACCCGATTCTCTTTAAATTTCACACATCCTATTATTTCTGCTAACACAAGATCTGCTGTGAAGATGGGAGATATCGGTCCCCTCTTTCTGGTACCTCCGCCATAAAGGGTCCAAATTTTGAATATTCATGAACCTCATAAAACCAAAATTAACTTCCGATTCCATGCAGACTTGGCCCAGCTCAATATTTCCATCAACACAATATCTGTTAAAAAGATGATAGAGATTCGGATTCCTCTCCACATAAAGTTCAATATATATTCCGATGGAATTTATCATTTCGCATAAAATTAGATATCTTCGAGTTACAATTGAAAAAAAGATGTAATTTGTTCTATCAAACAAGTTTGACACAACCCTACCCACACCTATTTGTCTTGTTGTAAGTCAAATAATTTTGTTCCCAACCAATAATCCGAACATTTAATTAATCCAGAATATTTCATTTCATGTACGATACGAAATATTTATTCATAATTTTCAAATTATTTTTTTCTGGGAACACATTGATGTGGGATAATTATGCATTTTTAATGAACTTCCTAGATTTCCAAAAAGCCAAATGAAATCCCCCCATTTTTATCAACAAAATTCTTTCTTCGCAAAAGCCACTTCTACGTGCCATCTGTGCTAATGAAGCACCCAACTATGTGGCCAACAACATCAGAAATATTCGAGCAAAAAACGAAGCACCACAATTCATAATAAAGCTCACTTACCTATGACCATAATCGAATTCATTCACAATGTCTGTTGACCTTGAAATGAGTTTCCAAGTTTTCTTGGCAACAACAATTTGCCGCAGACGAGGCTTTGGCGCAATGTTTACAAGACTTTGGAATATTTTGTGTAAATTTTAACACATCCCAACTAATTGATTGGCCCTCAAACAGAATTAAGTTTACACTCGGCTGTGACCAGAAGATTAGGCGTGTGCTCATTATTGGGTGGTGGTGGTGTAATTGAACACGGAGCGGAATCATGGGGAGTAGTTATTGGGTTGTCATTTTTTTTTTTTTTTTTTTTTTTTTGCTTTTTTTAATTCAAGTATCAAAGCAAACGTGTTCCATAGATTTAGTGTCCGTCCATTCGTCTGCCTGCCTATCTGTCAGCCTGTCTTGGCTTTGTCACGCCATAATTTTGGCTAATGTACTTTAGCTCTGATACACCTTGTCACATTATGTCGTTTTGTTTTTGCTTTTCGCTTTCGTAAAAATTTTATGAATTCAGTCGATTTGTTCGGTCGTTAAAATTCAAAGCGGAAATTTGGGAATTTTTGAAATTATTATTTATAGAAAGAAATATGCGACTTTATCACCACATGTACGCCCTGTGTTGGGGTTTCGTTTCGTAATTTTATTCACGTTTTTTAATTAACAAAAAATAAAATTATTACACTGTGCGACAGAGTGAAGAGACCTTTGGACTTCAAATATAAAAATTGGAAAAAATTGTTTTTCAAATAAGGAAATATTTTGGAATTTTCTTGACTCCTTCTAGAAGAAGAGCCACTTCAGCTCTTCCAGGGGAAAAGCTATTTCAGCTTTTCTAGGAGAAGAGCTACTTCAGCTCTTCTAGGAGAAGAGCTACTTCAGCTTTTCTATGAGCAGAGCTACTTCGGCTCTTTTCAATGTCTGAGAAGAGGTACTTCAGCTCTTCTGTGAGAAGAGGTACTTCAGCTCTTCTGTGAGAGGAGCTACTTCAGCTCTTCTGTGAGAGGAGCTACTTCAGCTCTTCTGTGAGAGGATCTACTTCAGCTCTTCTGTGAGAGGAGCTACTTCAGCTCTTCTGCGAGAGGAGCTACTTCAGCTCTTCTGTGAGAGGAGCTACTTCAGCTCTTCTGTGAGAGGAGCTACTTCAGCTCTTCTGTGAGAAGAGCTACTTCAGCTCTTCGGTGAGAGAAGCTACTTCAGCTCTTCTCCTCTATAGCTCTTCTGTGAGAGGAGCTACTTCAGCTCTTCTGTGAGAGGAGCTACTTCAGCTCTTCTGTGAGAAGAGCTACTTCAGCTCTTCGGTGAGAGAAGCTACTTCAGCTCTTCTGTGAGAAGAGCTACTTCAGCTCTTCGGTGAGAGAAGCTACTTCATCTCTTCAATGAGAAGACCTTCAGCTCTTCTCCGAACACTCTCTTCCCTCCCATCTTAAAAATTCCTTACATCTGAAATCCGCCCCCACGATAAAGAGATTAAACATTTTATTATTTACACAATTAATTAGAAAAATGGAATTAACAAACGATAACAAACGAAATGCCTGGCAGTACAAAGTCCGCGATGTCTCGGCGTATTTAGCGTATTTGCATTTAATTTTTCTTGACTTGTGCGCTGATGACAGACACAGACAGACAGTTTGTCAGTTTTTTATTATTTTTTTTTTCTCAACGATGAGATGAGGAACTTTACATCAATTCCATCAATCATTTGTTGTCAGCTACTAGACACACACACACATGCGCACACATGGGGTGTTGTTTGTAGCCAAGGATGTGTGGAATTGAATTAGAATTGAAAAGGAGAAGAAAAAAAGTAAATTAAATTAAAAAAAACGATGATATATAGATGGCAATCTATTTTACAGGCTTTGCTTATTTATTTATTTATGTTGGCATTCGTTTAATATTCCATTTCATTTCAGATCCCAGAACGAAGGATTGGCCAATGATGTCATCACCATTTCCCACATTAGCTGTATGTCTCACATATGTCTACTTAGTCAAGGTAAGTGTTGGGAAGATAAATAAACACACACACACATGCACACGTACACAGTGGGGATTATTTGCGGGAAAAAGGACTAAGACGGGGAATTTCCTTAGAAAAGGATCTTCGGATTTTCTTTGGGAAATTCTAACTAAAATTTAAACGAAGTATTGAAAATTATTTAGTTTGAATAAAATAGGATATCTTTTTTATTTTATAAAATGTATTAAAAAATGCAGGGTGAGATGAAAAAACTGCAACCAACTTCAGACTGCTGTCATTTCCAAGCCACTCGTCCGTCAGATTTTAAAATAATAACAGTGACAGCTCATCATATAGTTTACAAGCGCACAAAAGTATTTTTGTGAGAATTTTCCAGAAAAAAGTTATTCCTGATGGATTTCGAGCGTGATAGTGTGATTTCTTCATATTTGGCTGGAAAACCACAAGTGGCTATCGTTAAAGAACTCCAGCATTTAAATGTGAATACATTTTTTGTGTCTCGTGATACTGGTGGCGTAGCCCGACGTCAAGGAAGTGGACGGAGAAAAACAGCAACATCAGCAGAAATGGTTGGAGTAAAAAAGCGACTTGATCGAAATCCGCGTCGCCGTGGCCGAAAATGGCTCGTTAGCTGAACATATCGCAATATTCTATTCGGCAAATATTGAAAAATGAGATCGGGGTAAAGCCATTGAAACTCAAAAAAGTGGAAGAACTTACACCGCAACAGAGAAAAAATAAACTCAAAAGAGCTAAAGAGTCGCTTCACTTGACCGAAAGTGGTGAACTGCCGAATTTGGTTTTCGCGTTTACTTGCCAAAGAAGTCAGCTGAAAATGCCCACCTTCGGTTGGCCACTAGAACTCAAGCTCCGGCCATGGTGATGGTGTGGGCCACCATAGCAGCCGATGGTCGCTCTTTGCCCGTATTAATCGACCGTGGGATCAGAATAAATGCCGAATATTATTGCGAAAATATTCTGGAGGGTGTATTTAAGTTTTGGGCGCGCAAACATTTCGTTCATTTCGTTTCGATCGTATTAATCGACCATGGCATCAGAATTAATGCCGAATATTATCGCGAAAATATTCTGGAGGGTGTATTAAACCCTTGGGCACGCAAACATTTTGGACATTCCAACAGGACTCAGGACCCATCGCACTCAGCCCGCGCCAACCAAGAATGGTTACAAAATGAGGTTCCTCGCTTCATTTCCAGCGCACAATGGCCACCAAAATCTCCGGATACCAATCCGTTGGCCTATTGTGTCTGAAGTATTTTGGAAAGCAAGATTGACACTAAAAAATACCCCAGTGTGTCGATCACCCCAAGTAAGCGCTTCGTCGAGAATGCGCCAACTTGCCGCAGAGCAACATTCGGGCAGCGTATGACGGTTTTATTGGCCTTTGAAGGCCATAAGTCCTGCCAAAGGTGACCAATTCGAACAAATCAAAACTTATTCTAAAATTTGATGTTATTTCCGACATTTTTATACCCTACACCACAAGGTGGTCAGGGTATTATGTCTTTGTGCATTTGTTTGCAATAGGCAAAAGGAAATGAGATAGACCCATGTTTCCTTTTGATGATCTGCATAGAATCACATTCTGAGTCGATTTATACATGTCCGTCCGTCCGTCCGTCTGTCCATGTATTTTTGTAAACAAGGACGAACGCAATTGAAATTGGAGATAATCAGTCAAAATTTAGATATAGCTCCCATATATATCTTCGTCCGATTTGCCTTTTATTGTGCACCAAACGTGTAATATCAGTCCGAATAGTATGGAATTTTGCACGTACAATCAGATTGGACCTGAAAATAAGTATGCCAAATTTGATCGAAATCGGTTCAGAGATAGCTATATCTCCCATATATATTTTTCATCCGATTTGTTATTTTTGTCCTCCGCAGCCGTAATATGCACTCTGTAACAACAATATTTGGGGAAATATATCAAATACAGCTCAGAAATACATTTACTAAATTTTATCGAGATCGGATCAGATTTGGATATAGCTCCCATATATAACTTCGTCCGATTTACTTTTGATTGTGCACCAAACGTCTAATATTTGCCCAAATTGGATGAAATTTTGCACTTACGACCGAAGATCGGTTCAGATATAGCTATAGCTCCCATATATATTGTTCATCCGATTTGTCATATTTGTTACCCACATCCTTAATATGCACTCCGTAACAACGATATTCATGGAAGTATATCAAATACAGCTCAGAAATATCTTTGCCAAATTTTATCGTAGTCGGTTCCGATTTGGATCCGATTTCAAATTAATTGTGCACCAAATAGGCAATACAAGTCCGAATTTAAAAAATACAAATGTTTCGACATATTTAGTCCTTTGAACTTTAAATTATAATTATAATCATAGCGTGTATTATTGAATTCTCCCATAAAAACTTTTTAATGTTATGTGCAGCTCTTCTAAATTAGCAAAGTGGTGTAGGGTATCATAAGGTCGGCCCCGCCCGACTTTAAGACTTTCTTTACTGGTTTGCCTTCATTCAATAAAATTTAAAACAAAAATTCAAAAATTATGGCTTTTAATTTTGTTACAGTTTTTTTATCTCACCTTGTTTTTGATATCCTTCAAAGGAAATTCTAATAAATTAACGACTAAAATAGTAGGAAAGCACCTAGGGAGCCTTTGTAAAACTTAAAAATTTTCCAAAATCATAACGAAATAATGAAACAAATGATCATGAATTTTAAGATTTAAAAAAAACATAACCATAACGAAATAGTGAAATAATAAATTTTAAGTTTTTTTTTTTGGAAAAATTTTTCTTAGCTTTTTTTAAATAATTTTCAAAAAAAAAATTATTACTCCCACTGTTCCAAGTCTAAATCTTAATCATGTGGGAATGTTAAAAAAAAAAACATTTTTTTTTATTATTCCCACTGTTCCATGTCGAAATCTTATTCATGTAGGAATGTCTGACTTCCTTATTCACTTCCCATTTATTATTATTGTTGTTTTTTATTTTTCAAATATACATTTATATGTCAAAAAATAAAAAAATGAAAATATTCACGTGCCAATGACATGCCACTTATCCTTACCCCTTTTAATTGATTGTTGTTTTCCTATTCTCTTTTTTTTTCTCCCTCTCTCTCTCCTTTTTTTTTCTTTATTAATTTTTTTCCAAATTGTAGGTTTTAGGTCCACGATGGATGGAAAATCGCAAGCCATTCCGTTTACAAAACACATTAATTATCTACAATGCAGCACAGGTGATATTTAGTGCGTGGATATTCTATGAGGTAAGTTGGGCATGATCCATGACCGTTTTGATGGCACCTCACGACAGGTGTGTAGGTGTGTTTGTGTCGGTCGTATGGGTGTATCGTTACAGCCGAGGAAGAAGAGAACAATTATCAAGGACTTGAGTCCCCGCCAACGAGAATTGGGGACCATGGAACGCCGCGTACATCTTTCTAGTAGGCTTCTGCAAGAGTGTGACAGTGTTAGCTTCAAACCAAAACCATTTGTTGCACAACCAACCAACCAACACCAACCATCATCACAAGCAATATTTCCCATCATCTGTCATTTGTTTGAATGCCTAACGGTTTCCTGTTTGAAGCTTTTGTTCGTTTTGTTTTGTTTTCTTTCTATGCACCTGTTCTGTTTTTGTTTTGTTTTCTTATTTAGTGTTTTTTTTTTTCTGTTGTGCCGTTCTCTCTACTAAGTTTAAGTTTGACATGTTCTTTTGTAGTGTTTAATGGGCGGCTGGTGGGGTCATTACAACTTTAATTGCCAACCGGTGGAATATGCCGATACCCCACGTGTCAATCGAGTAAGTTGGTGTCAAACTCCGTCAAACAAAAAGAGTCTCGACCAATTCATCGGAACAAAAATTGGGTTATCAAAAAAACAAAAAAATAAAAAATTCCAAAGAAGAATATTTTCTCTAGCACTCTCGAAACAAGTAACTATCACGCTGGCATAACCATTTCTTAAAAAAAATGTAATTTAAAACGTTCATCTCTGGCTTGTCACAGCGTAAGCGGCGGGTTAATGCCTTTCATCACATGTGCTATTAGTCTCCCATACTCTTCAAAATTATATCATGAAGAGCCTGGCATTTAGATCTTCGTTTTTTTGCCAATAACTACTTCCATGTTGCTTTCTTTAAGTTGGGGTTTACATACATACATACTTTATTTATTCTGCGTTCCAATCAAATGCCTATAATTGTTTTTTTATTTTTGCTTTCATAAAATTTATAAATTGTAGTAGCTTTGTTTTCTTTTTTCCTTTTTATGTGTTTTATTTATTGTTTTATTTTCGAAAATTCCAAAAACACACACACCCACATTTATACATAAAAACACGCCCCCACACATATACAACATTACACATCTATACAAAAACACACACACACATATATGAAATCTTCCTTATTTATTTATTGCTTTTACGTCGTCCAAACAAAATGAGATTGCTGAACAAAAATTGTAAATACAAAACAAGCCAGCAAAGCTCCTTCATTCATGCCTCTATGTAAGCTGTGTAGTAAGTAGTTGAGTAAGTAGTTAATTGTATTCGTTTATGATTATTAACATTATGTTGTATGTTGTTGCACAGTGTTTTGAAAGAGAAAAGCTAGGGTTTGTTAAAAATTGCCTTATATTGACAATGGGTGGGGTTTGGAGAACTTTAGGGGATAAGTCTCTCGTTCGATATCTAAAAAAAAATTCGAACCGAAATTCATTTTAATAAAAAAAAAATTAAAAAAATATATCCCCATCAAACAATGATAAACAAAATATTCTTAAAAGCCGCCTTCAAAAAATTCTCATTCACTTGGTCGCCGAAGGGTTGAAATGTAGATGCCAATCTTGGAGAGTTTTTGACAGATATTTTATTGTATAAAAATACACATAGGGACGAAGCTTGTTTCATAGAGTAATGCAAAAAGTTATTAACAGAAACCTAGCACAAATTTAGATTGTACAGCATATATGTGACCTGTCCGAATCTAAAATTACAATTGAAACGGGGTGAAACGTTTCAATTGCCAAAAAATATGCTTTTAAGTATATATTTTGCAGATAAATATTTAATATCTAGATGGCGCCCAAGATAATTTAAAGTACAATACGTCAAAGGTTTTGTATTTAAAATCGTTGCATATTTGCAGGGAAAATTGTAATTTTAGATTCGGACAGGTCACATATATGCTGTACAATCTAAATTTGAGCTAGGTTTCTGAACATAAGAATATTTCAAATTTCATTGGGCAAATATTTTGGTATAACAGCCAAGTTTATACCACTTTAGTATCAACACTGGGAATTTATAAAAAAAAACTCTGACGGATTTAAAAATTTATATCCGAAAGGGAAAAAATACTTCGAATTTAGGTAAAAAATGTTCACAACTCGAAAAATTCGGTCATTCCATAGGGTATTTAATTGTATATTATGAGCGATATCTGGATTGTGTTTGCAAACTTTAAACTTGAAGCATACTTTTAGGTGGGTAACAAAACGAGAATTTATAAACAGATCCTCAATTATGGTATTCTATTGTATACTAGCACGTGCCCTCCTTAAATTTTTAGATTCGCTCCAAAACTTCTTGTTAGGCCTTTTTAGCACTCAAAATGCATAATTTTTTGAGTTCGACAAAATTTGTAATCAAAACTTCATAAATCATACTAAATCTGCAGACCTTTAATGTTTTATATATTCTTCAGGTTTATCCTTTTTTCGGAAAGACAATTAGAAAAAAGTTTTCAAAATTGCACCAATGGACCCACATCCAATTTTTCCTTCCAAAGCTATTTTAACGTCAACAGTAACCTCCATATCAAATTTCAAGATTTCTCCTGTATTCCTTCACCCAATACCAAATGTGGTACCATTTAGTTCTTGTCGTACAATTATAGTACACATTTACAAAACCGCCTTCATATATCAATCACAGATACACAGAGACCTCAATATCACATTTGAGAGTTCCTGCCCTATACCTTCCCTCAATACTTAGTACTTTTCGTACAATTATAGTACGTATATCTAAAACACTGCGAAATCTAAAGTACAGATACTGTCAGTAGTCTAAATATCAAATTTCAGAATTTTATCTCTATCCATTCACCCAATACCAAATTTTGTACCATTCAGTAGATATCGAACAATTAGAGTACATATTTCCGAAACCTCCTCCATATGTCCTTTCAACACATAAATAGAGTCGCTGTTACCAAATGCCAAATTTAAGATTTCTAGCACTTTGAACAATATCAAATCGATATTGGGTGAAAGAAATAGCCGCGTTGAATATGTAAAATCAATAATTTTTAGAACTTTATCTGAAATTCATAATATAATATAAAAACATGAATATAGGCAATAAAAGACGAATGTTTGAAAGTTAATCACAGAATCGTGCGAAAACTGGAAAAAATGATATTAGTAATATATTGGGCGCCATCTTGTTACTAATATTGGTTGATTGAGTTCTTACTTGAGATATACTCATTGATAAGCATACTTACAGGCAGTGAATAATTCAACAGGATTTAAATAGGCTTAGTGAAATAAGAAGAAAATGAATATTTAAGAATAAAAGGCGGAAGATTTTAAAGTTCTAATGGAAAATTATTAAAATCGAAAAAAAAAACTATTTTTTTTTACTTAATTAAAAGAAAATTGAATTTATTTTAATCACTGTGCAACACTAAAAAACAACATACATTCATCGTAGCAATAATTGAAAATTAATACCATTTCACGAAATGTAAGGCTATAAAACGTTTTCCATAGCAAACTGTCTTACATTTGAAGAATTGAGCCATTGGTAACATAATTAAATTGTGTAAGTTTACAATTTTTATTATTATTGTTTTTGTTGGTTATGTGTAGTTATTTAAATGTTTACTTCAATGCAATTGGATGCACCGGCATCATCGACCATAGACCATTCACAAGACAATGGTTGTTGAATTTGTGTTGTATGTTTTATTTTCGTTTTTTATTTATTTATTTGTTTGGTTTGTAGTTTGCTTTTTTGTTGTATTCATGGTATCACAAGTTAACATTTTTTTTTCAAAAGTACAAGAACAACATTTTTTTTTAAATTTTTTTCCAAAATTCAAAAAAATCCAAAAAAATAGAAACAAAATTTGTAGAAGCATACAAGAGAGAAATATTTATTTTTTTTTTTCAATTATTTGGTATTTAAACGTTTCGAATGTTCAACAACGATAATGACACACACACGTACATACATACACAAATAAAAACAAACAAAATAACTTTCTTCCAGCCAAGTCCAACGAACTATGTAAGACTCAATCTAATACCTATGCGAACACACTCAGCAGCGTACATCCACCGACCGTTGTAATCAATGCTTTAATGCTCCTCCTCTCCTCCTACTCTCATAACGCCATTTGACATTTGAAGTTCATACGAAAAATTTTTGTTGTATTTCAGATTGGTATTTCCGGTTGGCTGACAGGACACTATAGCTTCCGATGTCAGCCGGTTGAGTATAATAATAACCCTAGAACGATAAGGGTATGTGTTAACCATCAAAATCAAAATTCTATTCCAAAAAACAACAACAAATGCATAGCATTTCGAAATTTTTCCATTTAACACATATAGTAAATAACCTCTGCATGCCCTTCTCTGACTCTCTCTCTCTCACGGGAAGACTCTTTTGGGAGTTTTCTTAGATCATTTCTCACAACCTCTCTCACTCTCTCCCTTTAAATCTCTCTCTCTATCTCTTCTGTTCTTTTGTTTGATTTAAGTCTCGCTCCAAAACAAGGAAAATGGTTTAAAATTATTTTATTTTTATTATTATTATATTATAAAAAAACAATTATAATTTTATTATTTAAATAAATATTTATAAAAACCAAAACCATTTTCCTTGTTGTCTCTTAAATTTGCAGCTTTAAGCCTCGCCTCCTTTGTTGCAAGCTTAAAACATGTGAACTCCGTTTGTTCTTTATTTTTATGAATTTCTTAATTTTCATTTTTTGCCTTTCTATTTTATTTTTATTATTTAAGAACCATATCCAAATAGAATATAATTTTGTAACTAATAATTGGTGGTGTTTAATTTTTTTTTTGCTTTCTTTTAACAAATTAAAAATATTTTTAATATTTTTTTTCTTTTTCGAGAGAGCTATTCCAGTTTATTTTTTTTCAAAAATAAAGTTATTACCAATAAATTATGAACTCTTGAGACATTTAATTTATATTTTTATTTTATGTACAAGAGATCATTAATTTTTATTGTTAATAACTTTCGATCCCTTTTTAACGAAATTTTATGTTGAAACCCCCCCACAAAAACAAAAAATGTTTTGATTGCATGACATGACATTTTAATATTTTTAGCTGCCCATGGAAATGTAAGTAATATATCTGCAATATAATAAAAATAAAAATAAATATTTTTTATTTCTAATGTTATAAAAAATAAATTATTATTAAATCTTAAAGATCGAAATCAAATTTTATAATACATAATATTTTTTTAACTAATTTATAAATTAATTATCTGTCCAAGTACCGACTTAATCAGAGCTGGCAAGCCATCGTTCGTGCTATTGATATTATCGATAGTTTTTGTAACCGAATGACAAAGTGCATTACAATAGGTCTGTCTAGCTACTTTTCCTGCAAGAATTGTCTAGCAACTTTTTTCTCAGAGAGAAAGATATTTTAATTCTCTTTTGCATGACAACTGTAAATCATCACCTGTTTTGCCAAATAAAATAATAATTTATACGCCATCAAAAACAATTCATCATTTTATTAAAAACCTAACCAGTGTCCGCTAATTCTTTAGTGAAAAGTCCACCTTAAAATTTTAGATTCGTTCCGACAGTTCGTGTTCGGCCATTTTAGAACTCAAAATTCACTATTTGTTCAGTTTGACAAAATGTTTTAATCAAAACTTAATGTATCGTCCTCTCTACATTTCAATTCCGGGTATCAACAGAGACCTCAATGTCAAATTTGAGAATTCCAGCCCTATCCCTTTACCTAATGCCAAATTTTTTACCATTTAGTATTTTTAGTAAAAATATAGGACGCATTTCTTAGGCGCGGACACCAACAGTGACTTCTATATCAAAACTCAGGATTTCAGTTTTTTTTCTTCTTTACTTAATACCAATACAATTATAGTACACATTTCCAAAATAACCTCTATATCTTAACTACAGACACCAACAGTGGACATCTATATAAAATTTAAAAATTTAGCCTAATTCCTTCACCCAATACCAAATTTAGTACCATTTAGTACTTTTCGTACAATTGTAGTACACATTTCCAAGACAACCACTATATCTTAACCACAGACACAAATAGTGACTTCAATATTAAATTTCAGAAATTTTACCTAATTTCTTCACCCAATACCAAATTTAGCATTATTTAGTACTTTTCGTACAATAAGAGTACACATTTCCAAAGTCACCTCCAATTCCAGATAGAAATAGAGACCTTAATTTCAAGTTTGAGAATGCCAGCCCTATCCCTTCACCTAATGCCAAATAACATTTAGTACTTTTCGTACAATTATAGTGCACATTTCAAAAACTTCCACTATATGTCAACCACAGACTCAAACAGTGACCTTAACATCAAATTTCAGCGATCCAAATTTCAGTGAACCCAAATTAGTACCATTTAGTACTTTGCGGACAATTATAGTATGCATATCAAAACCCACTTCATATCTCCACCCTACACAGCAATATTGACACAAATTTAAATTTTAGTACCATTATCTACCTTTCGTACATCTACGGGTCATATATCCAAAACTACCTCCAATACTATACACCAATTCTGACCCCAACACCAAAATTCAGAAATCTAACTCTATCCGTACAATCAGTAATACATTTTGTACCATTTATCACTTTTGTACTCTTGTAGTACTTAGTTCCAAAAATAATTTCAAATTTCAGGATTCCAGCTCTATAGTTTGACCCAAATACAATGTGTACCAAATTAAGTATTGATTCAGTACACATAACAAAAAGTTCCTTCATAACCCAATCCTATAATCCATCAGAAATCTTAATTGCAAATTTCTGGACTACAGCTCTATAGGTTTACACAAAACTAAATTGTACCAAATTTAGTACCACATAAGTACGAATTTTCAAAAGTTCCTATATAACCCATGCCTATTATCCAACAGTAATCATAATTCCAAATTCCAGGATACCAGATATTGGTATCCTGGATATTGGTTCAGGATATTGGTTGGTACCAAATTTAATACCATTTAGTACACATAAGTACAAATTTCCACAATTACCTACATCATACAATCCAATAGAAATCTTATTTCCAAATTTCAACATTCCAATTATATTGGTTGACCAAATTCCAAATTATACTAAATTTCGAAATTGTACCAAATTTAGTACCGTTTGGTACTTTTCGTGCACATAAGTACAAATTTCAAAAACTACCTGTATATCTCAATCCTCCGCCAGTAATTTTAATTTCAAATTCAATTCTCAGCTCCATCCGTTCCTCAAAATTCAAATTGTACTAATTCCAGTACTAAGGATAGTACTTTTCGTATACATGAGTACGCACTTCCAAAAGTACATCGACCCTACTCCCCAAACTCGATTGCCCTTCCTTCCTTGCCTCCAACACATGATACTAAATGGTACGAAATGTAGCACATTTACATTTTAGTACTCATTCCAAATTTAAGAGTTCTAGTATTACTTGTTCGTCAAAGGCAAATGGTACCATATTTTGTACTTTTCGTACCGTTCTGTTACGAATTTCCATTTTGCATACATTTTCTCAAAATAAAGGTGGGAATACAAAAAGCGCTTATTATGTTGGCTTCTTCGTAGAGGAACAAAGGAGTTTTAAGTTGACTTAGTACGATTTTGGCCTTAGGCTCCTTTGTTAATTTCCGAAGAAGCCAGCCGATGACTTAAGCCAGCCAAATAAGCCTTTATGTATTCCCACCTTAAGAATTAAATTCGAGATATCAAAACTGACAAGTTGCACACGAATTTATTAATGGATTATAAAAAACAGCTGTCTAATTGTTGCAGAGAGAAGGAGAGTTGCAAGTGATCGCAAGATGAAATTTGCCTGGTAATAATTTGCAAACTTGCTGTCAAAATGTCTCTCTTGAATCACTCTCTTCTCTAAAACTTTTGTGTTAACAGACGATTTCAATTAAAAAAAGGTGTTAAGTTCTTTTTTTTTGTGAATAACCTGACAGACCTAATACTTTAAACGTATATATATTAAATTTAAATATTTAAAAATTGCAGATATATTATTTTTCATTTCAGCAGCTGAAAAAATATAAAACAATTTACATTACGTTATAAATTGTATATTCTCTTTTTAATTTTTTTCTTCAAAATTTAACAACAGATGGTCCATGCTTGTTGGTGGTATTATTTCTCAAAGTTCACAGAGTTCATGGATACGGTAAGTTGAACTACAAAAATTACATTTTAAAATATTATTAAACGTATAATTTTTTCCCAGATATTCTTCGTGTTGCGCAAAAAGGAAAGTCAAATCACCACTCTGCACGTCATTCATCACGGCTGTATGCCCATGTCTGTGTGGTTCGGCGTTAAATTCACCCCCGGCGGCCACAGTACATTCTTCGGTTTGCTCAATACCTTCGTACACATTATTATGTACACCTACTATATGTTCTCGGCCATGGGTCCACAATTCCAGAAATATTTGTGGTGGAAGAAATATTTGACAACTTTGCAAATGGTAAGTATGAAGCATTGGATATTCTGACATTTGGATTTTTTTTTTAATATTTTTCTCCGTCTCCATTTCAGGTGCAATTCATTTTGATCATGGTCCATGCCTTCCAATTGCTGTTCATCGAATGTAATTATCCCAAGGCCTTTGTCTGGTGGATTGGCATGCATGCCGTTATGTTCTTCTTCTTGTTCAACGAATTCTACAAACAGGCCTACAAGGGTCGCAAATCGGTAGGTTTTTGTTTCTTCTTTTTACGAGAAGAAAATTATTGTATTATGCGTATTAATAACTAGCTATATTTTTTTAACAGCGAACAAGATTATAATGAAAGGATTTTGAGATTGGAAGTTCAATATGCCCAGTGTAAAAATTGTAATTTAAACTCATTTTTGATGACAATGATACTTACAATGATTATTGGTCGCATTGATCTTCCATTCTATGCTCTTAAATATTAATTTTATACAAAAATTTTAAAAGTTATTCTCTTTGAGCTTGAGTCAATATAGTTTTTATACCATCCACCACATAGAGTATGGAGGGTTGGAGCTTCTTTTTTACTTTTTTTTTGTATTTTACCCGATATTTCGCAATTTTTTTTTAATAAAATCGTCAGGGTTGATCTACAAAAATGATAAAACTGTAAATCACTCCTGAAATTATTCCAGTTAAATACCAAAAAAAAAATGTTGACATCAAGCACGAAGATAATTTTACTTATGATCTGTTCCAGATCCAGCAGGAATCGACTAAATTAGCAATTTTTTCCGATATCATAAAGGGAAAATTGTTATCGTTGTAAAAACTTTTACATTCTTGCAATTCTGAAACAGACCATTAATTTATCTGTCCCAGAATGTAAAAGAATAAAAAACTTTTTACAACAATAATCGTTTTTCATTTTTGAAATCGAAATAAAAATGCAAAGCTAGAATATTCTTAAGGGTTCTGGAACAAAGCAAATTTATTGAAATTGTGCTCTTTTCCAAAACATGAAAGAATCTGCTAGTTTTGCAATTCCTTTCTATATCATAAATGGAAAATCGGTTATTCCTTTTACATTCTTGTAGTTCTGGAACAGACCATTAAGGAACTATCAATATGTTCTCTTTAGAAATTATTTCTTTTAGAAATATTTGTATAACTAACATCTCTTTCTCATAACCTCTAGTTTTGAAAACTAACATTTTTCTCATAAAATCTATGAAATTTTTGAAAATAAATTCCTCACTAAATATAGAAATTGAAATTTCCCTAATGCAATTTCTTATAATCTCGTTCGCTGTATCATTAGCATTAGTATTATTACATCATTTAGATATATTTGCATTATTAGTGATTCAAAAACAAACCTAAACAAAAAATTAATTGCAAAATTAAGACATTGCACATTCAATACATTGCACCTGGTTGGGGAAAACAAAGTTTATTTTTGTTGTAATTTCTAACATCAAATAGCATTAACTAGTATAACTCTTTATTGCAATGGCATTAACTCGCGTATAACAGTTAATGGCACCGAGGATAACTTTATTAATACGGATAACATGATGTGTCACAAAGCTGACACGAGGCAGGATTAACAGATACATTTTAAAAATAGCTTCGGATTAATAACAGCCAAGAATTAAAATTTAACAATACAAAAATCACCTACTTCTAACTAAGAAGTCCGACGATTTCAAATCACTCGATAACATAACGATTTAGCAAAGTGATCGAATTTCTCACCTTAAAGGGTTAGTGTAATGAATATGGGACCTTAGATTTTCGGCAGGACTATCCAATATACTGACCATAAAAATACTCCCTGATCGTTATAGCCCCTTACCACGAAGGGCAGATCCAATTGCCAACCAAATTGAATGTAATTTGGCATTTTGGGCTGTTTTTGACATTTGCCATAAACAAAATGTCAATACTAGTCCAAGTTTTGAAAAAAAAAACTTTTTTTTTAGAAGAGTCGGAAAATTTTAAGAACTTTAAAACCTACTTCTCTTCTGAATTATTTGTATCCTAATTTTTTGAACGTACAATTGCAAGGCTGTAATTTATTAGGTCTGTATGGTTACTTTTCCTGCAGGGATTTTCGAACGATTTTTTTTTTTTTTTTTGAGAGGGCTGTGTAGTTTTTTTTTTCTCTTTTGCAAGAAAGGAAACAGACGGAAAACCTGCATAAACGAACGAAAAAATTAGTTCTCCATAAATAAATGAAGAACGTAAAAATTAAATAAATACATGTAGGTGCCTATACGAAGACCTGCTTAGACAATTTTCACAGACTATAGTATCAATTATGAACTTCATTTACCAAATTTGAAACGATTTCGATTTCGATTTCTATACGAAGACGTGGACCTGCGATTTTCTGTCACAGGCTGTAGTACCCATTATGAATGGCAAATACTAAATTTTAACAATTCCAGTGAATAATGTAGCTAAAATCATTAAAATACCGAATGTAGGGAGGTGCTGTCATTTAGGTGCCTATACGAAGACCTGCTTAGACAATTTTCTATCACAGGCTGTAGTTCTCATTAGGAACTTAAAATACGAAATTTGAAACGATTCCCGTGAATAAAGTCGCTAAAATCATCAGAATACCGAATATCGGGAGGTGCCGTTATATGGCGGCTATACGAAGACGTTGGCTTGCACGCAAAATTTTCTGTCATAGGCTGTAGTATCCATTACAAACTTCAAATACCACAATTGAAACAATTCCCGTGAATTATGTCGGTAAAATCGTCAAAATAACGAATATCGGAAGCTGCCGTTATATGGCACTATACGAAGGCGTGGACCTGTCATATGCTGAAGTATCCATTACGAACTTCAAATACCAAATTTGAAACAATTCCGGTGATAATGTCGCTAAAATAATGAAAATACCGAATATGGGGAAGTACCGTTATATGGGGGCTATACGAAGACCCACGTCTCGACATAGAATTTTATGCTGATCAAGAATACATACTTTGTGGGGTCTTTAATGTATATTTCGAGATGTTACTTAATACTTAAGATACCCTCCATGCTATGTGTATTGGTAGATGATATGTACATGTAGTTGTTGTTGTTTGAAAAAATATTCACTAATTCATTAAAAGACCATAAATTAGATTGATGTTCATTCGAAAGGCTTTTCATAATTTGCCATAACGTTGTAAACATAAAACATTTATTTGATACCCATCGTAGAGCCATAAAAAAAAATTCGAAACTATTTTCTAATATTTTTCCCCTCACGTTGTTATCACACGAATGGTGGTGTGGTGGTGTCGTCACTCACTTTTTGGCCCAAATGCCATGGCAGCAGCAGTTGAGTTTCAAATTTGGATAAAAATTTCATTGACATTGATTTTGTTGTGGTATGTGTCGACACATAAATATTTTGTCGTACCTACAACGCTGGCCCAGCCATCGGCCATGGCAACATCTAACAGTACATACAACAAGCACAACAACAATAACAACAATAGCAACACATAACAATGTCACCATTGTGGGTTTTTTTTTCCTGCTGCGGTACTATTGGCCCATTCCGCCAGTCATGAATGGAACGCCAGTAACTAAAAATAACCCCATTCAAAATACAATATCTTCCAAAAACAAAAACAAAAAAAACAAAATTCAATTCAATACAACTCCAAGCAAATCAAATGTTTGCTTTCATTTCGAATTATTTCTCGCCTCACTCAATGGCTTTATAGAGCCACACGGCACGTTGATTTTAAAGTGAAATATGGGTCTTTGGGTCTTTCAGTCAGCCGGTCAGTCCGTTGGCCATAATTCACATTGTTTAGCAGTTACAGCGCAGCTAACATTTGCACAGTGTCTTGAAATTTTTTAAAAATTTCAAATTAATTTAATATTACAAAAATTAGCGAGACGAAAATCATTTGCACCCAATAGATTGTTGTAATCGTTAGACTGTTTGGTTGATCTTACCAACGTTTAATAGTCAAATCATAGTCTTTGATGCTAATGTATGTTTTTGTTGTTGCTGTCTGTCTGTCATCATCATCAGCAGCAGCATCACCGTCTCACCATCTTGAGTAACAAAAAAACAAGTGAAAGTTTACTCTGAACGCGCAAACCCATGAATAAAAACCATTTGCCTCACACCGGTCCCATAGATGTGAACAGACGATCTGCTTCGACCATAAGCGTTAAGCGCCGCAGCCAGTGAGAAAAGAAACCATTAACACCAAAACAACAACAAAAAACCTACCAACTGAAGAGAAAAAATTACATAATAATCGTAATGATGATAGGTTTTCTTTGTCCGAATAGTTGATCGGCATTGGGTGGTTTGGTGGCTGGATAGAGCAGCCAGCTGACCGACTGGCTGTAGCCGGTCTATTTGATTACACACAATTTTTCTTAGAGGCTTTTTTGACATGTGTTTTTTTTTTTTAAATATTTTTTGTCGTTAATATGAAAAATTTACAAATCTTAATTGAATAACTGGCTAGAGCTCATAACTTTTGGATACCATAGATGAGAGACATTTTTTATCTGGTTTTTGACACCTAAGAGAGATAGACACTCTCTTTCATTTGAAAACGAGTTTTTTCCAATGAATTTGCAAAAGTTGATTAAGAGGGGATTAATTTGTAATTAGCTGAATTAAAAACTGAGTTTTATGGAAACCTTTATAAAATATAGGATCGGAATTTTTGTTCTATGTTTCGTCCAAACATTATACTAAGGTTCGACCCTTGACAAATAAAGTCGTAGAGAAACCTTTATAAAATATAGGATCGGAATTTTTGTTCTATGTTTCGTCCAAACATTATACTAAGGTTCGACCCTTGACAAATAAAGTCGTAGAGCTTCAAAATTTGGTGCAACAGTGTGTATTATGTTTAGGATGGTTGGTAATGAAAATAAGATATATAGGTCCACGTTTAGTTATAGCCTCCATATAACTGTACTTCCCTATATTTGGTATTTGGATGATATTAGCGACTTTATTCAACGGAATTGTTTAAAATTTCCTATTTGAAGTTCGGAATATGTACTGCATCCTAAAACAAAAAATTACTTAGGCAGATTCACCCCTTTGTATTCTTAGTCATTTCAAGTTCCTTCCAATTGATGGAGGGTAATAAAAGTTCGGCCCGAGCGAACTTAGCTGATTTTTTACTTGTTTTCTTTTTATAAGATAAGTTATCGTAAGAAATTTCATAGAAACATGGGAATGTGAAAAGTATGGACCAATTCGGATACACTTTTTTACTAAATGGGATTTTTTGCAGGGAAGGTACCTTAATGATTGAGATTAATATTAGTAGCTATGTGCAAAGTTTGGATCCAACCAAGAAATCCATCGATTTCATAAGAAATATGCTCTTTGAACATGTCGAGCATTTTTGATGGACACTCCAGAAACAGGGGGCCGACATATCCCATAAATTTAAAAAAAATGGATTCAGTTTTAGATTTTTTTTTATCGATAACGGTTACTATACCATACCCTCAGCCATATGGCTAGAGGGGGTATATATCATTTGTGTTAACCTCAGCCATAAAGCTAGAAAGAGGGTATACATCATTTGATACGGCCAAAACGTGCCTCATCGAAATAGCAGTTTTAGACCCTAGGTCTATTTGGACCTAATCCGTTTCAGAACATTTGAAGTCCATCTAGAGATGTCCGTCCGTCTGCCTGTCTGGCTGGTGTGCACGATAACTCTCGAAGACACTATCCAATTTGATCCAAATTTGATCGAGTTCGGAAATGGGCAATATCGGTCCACTCCTTCTGGTGCTTCCCCTACAAAATGTCTACATTTTCCAAGAAAATAATTTGCTGCAAAAAAGAGAAAGGATAAACCGATTTTGCTCTAATATTTGCATTAGTGCTAGGTCAGGTGCGAAAATGAACAATATCGGTCCACTCCAAAAAGGTCAACATATTGATTAATTATAACTCTTATAAAATGTGATGTGAATCACAATATTTTTATTAACCCGATTCAACTCTTGTCAAAAAATTTTGGGTAGGGAGTAAAATTGAATCCAAGCTCTGATTTACGGACGATTTCAGGTATGCCATATTTTGGGTAACCAGACAGACCTATTGTCAATGGTAATTTAATTACACTGTGCGACAAAACTTCATTTTTTCAATAATTACGGGGGAAATTCAACGGATTGTGAAAGTAGAGCTTGAAGAAAGAAGACACGTGTATCGGCACTTTTGGAAAGTTTGCAACGAAATGCACGCAAAATAGAGGGTGCAAGTTTCCCCTCTTCAACACTTTTGGTAATTTTCAGATTAGGATGCCTCAGAATCCGTGCATTTTAGGTATTATGAGAAATATTTTGACTGAAAATCAAGCGAGGCAAGAAAGTCGCCTTTTGAGTCCTTTTTTAGAATATGACTAAAAACTCCCTTTAAACGGGATGGTAGCAAGTCAAAATATTCTACAAAATTATTTGTCATAAAATTTTACTATAGTCGTCAAATATTTATATCTTACCTATACGCCAGGATATACATAAAACACGCATTTAAGGGTTAAAGCCGTACCTTGTGTGAGTCCGGTCAAAAATCCCAAACAAAGCATCACTTTAGAAGCCTGACGTCAAAGAAAAAATATTCCTCATTAAATTTTACTTTAATTCATCAAGAGAAAGATATTTCCATCTTCACTGCGTATCAAAAAATATCAATGTTCCCAAGAAAAACCCTAAAATATAACCTTTTTCCGACCAGTCCGAATCAAAATCTCCCCTTATACTTCATTTTTTGCGAAAAGTGTCAAAGACAAAAATGTTCTTCATCGATTTTTACCATTTCTCACGAAAGTAAAGAAATCTCTATTTCGACTGAATACCAAAAAAAAACATTGCTTTATGTTCTCAAAAAAACCGAAAATATTTGTATCAATTTCCCTCGAACTTTTTTCGATTTGACACCTGAAAGTAATATAAAATTTCATTTTACAGGAAGAAATATTCTATTCAAAATTTCACTGTATATCTCAGAATAAACCATATATCTAGGTACAATAGTTTTCATGAAAATAACATTCCAAATTTGTGTATTAAAAGTGAAAATTATGTGCTTGTTTTTTTACTGTTAATTTAACATGTTTCCAATCCGAGTCAAAATCTCCCTTTATTTTTTATTTTTTGGGAAAAGTATGAAAGACAAAAATGTTCTTCATCAATTTTACTATTTGTCGCAAAAGTAAAGAAATCTCTATTTCGACTGTATACCTAAAAAACATTTGCATCAGTGTACCTCAAAAACCCTGAAAATATTCCCCAACTTTTTTGGATCAATTTTTCCTGAGACTTTTTCGAGTTGACACCTGAAAGTAATATAAAGTTTCATTTTACACAAAAGTTGTCAAAGGAAGAAATATTCTATTCAAAATTTCACTGCATATCTCAGAATAAACCATATATCTAGGTACAATAGTTTTCATGAAAATGACATTCCAAATTTGTGTATTAAAAGTGAAAATTATGTGCTTGTTTTTTTACTGTTAATTTAACATGTTTCCAATCCGAGTCAAAATCTCCCTTTATTTTTTATTTTTTGGGAAAAGTGTGAAAGACAAAAATGTTCTTCATCAATTTTTACTATATGTCACAAAAGTGAAGAAATCTCTATTTCGACTGTATACCTAAAAAAAAACATTTGCATCAGTGTGCCTCAAAAACCCCGAAAATATTTCCCAACTTTTTTGGATCAATTTTTCCTGGTACTTTTTTCGAGTTGACACCTGAAAGTAAATTAAAAATTCGATTTAGGTAGAAGGTATCAAAAGAAGAAATATTCTATGCGAAATTTTACTATAAATCTTAGAATGAACTATATATATAGGTGCAATAGTTTCTATGAAAATTACATTCAACATTTAGGGAAAATTATCACTATGCTTTACTGTTAATTTAACACGTGTCCACTCCAAGTCAAAATCTCCCTTTATACTTCATTTTTTGGGGGGAAGTGCCAGAGGAACAATTATTCTAGATCACATTTCATTGTGAGTCTCCGGACAAAACAAATTTGTATACCTAATATTTATCATACAAAATAGCATACATTTGTGGTAATAAAAAACTAGTTTATATCTGAAAAATTTAGCACGTACTTTACGTGAGTTTTTGCAAAACTCCCCAACAAAGCATCACTTAAGAAAGATGACGTCAAAGTCAAAAATATTCTTCACCAAATTTTACTATAAGTTACTAAAGAAAAGAAATCTCTATTTTGACTGTATATCAAAAAAATCCTTGATTCAATGTTCTCAAAAAAAAAAACCGAAAATACTCCCTAATTTTTCTGATCAAATTTTCCTTGGATTTTTTTCGAGTTGATGCCTCCCTTCCCTCATACTTCAGTTTTTGGGGAAAGTGTCAGAGAAAGAATTATTCCAGAAAGGGTTCAAAGTTCATTTTATTAATAAATTTGGACAATTTTTTATATATGTAGATAGGGTAAATGGTTCTGACAGTTGCTCAATTGTGACAAATTTCAATGTACGCTCCAGATATACAAACAAAAAAAAAATAATGTTTTAAATTGGATATGCTTTAACTGGGAGGGAATACAGCCAGCTGAATTAAAAAAATATATAAAAAATACAAAGTGCAATTTATAAAGATTCCCAAAAAATTGGCATGGATTTGAGCGAGCGCAATATTTTTTTTATTTTGAAAAAAAAAATCAAAAAAAAATTAGTTAGTAAATCAGATCTTAGATCAAAATTTAATGAATTTTAAATATTTTCGCCTTGTCTTAATCAAATATAAAAAAAGAGTACAAATATTAAAATTGAATCAATTGACTTTTTTTCCAAATAATGCAAATATTTTTTTTTTAAACTTTCATATATTTCTTTTACCTTTTTCATACATCCAACATTTTTATGGTGTTGTTTGTTGTTGTTATTGTTGTATTTCATCATGTAGTTGTATTTCTAACATTTTTTTAAATAACATTTTAATGGTAATCATCCAACAATATTCTACTTTTATGTGCGCTCGCTCCATCTTCAACCAAAAACCAACCACACCACCATCCATTTGTGACAAAAAATGTGTTTGCCGCTACCACGACAACGTAACGTAACGTAACGTAACTTATCTGCCACTACTACGTCATTCAACGATGCAATCTTTAACCCTAAATGCCACAATAATACCCAATTACAATAAAAACAACTACGCTTTGCTAATTTTTGTTGTAAAACCGTAAATTCTATGTATCGCCCTGCTCATTGTTAATAATACTACAAAATATCGAATTTTTTTTGGTATGTTCAGCAATACAAGAATTTATTAATGTTCTGCTTGCAGCGTCCCGAAAAGCTAAGGAAGGAAGATGAACCCCTACTGGCCAACGGCCATGCCAATGGCGATTGCCAGACAACGGAAAAGAAGCTATTGAATGGCCATGCCAATGGCAAACTCATGGCCAATGGCAGCAGCAGTGCGAAATCCTCGAACGGCTACAGCAGCAGCAGCAACAGCAATGGTTACAAGAATGGCGCCGTGCTGGCCAATGGCGTCAACGGTCACACAACAGAGCTGACGCAGCGAAAGGTGAAATAATACAAGGCCAAAAATGGCAAACGTAAAATGCTGAAAAAGAAATTGGACATTTAATCGATAGAAATCTAATACAGAAACAACAACAAAAACAACAACAACATAGAGCTGAGAGACCGATCGCTAGAAAATCAATTGGAACTTAATTGCAATAATTCTAATATTACAACAACAAAAAGAGAGAAAAACAAAAACACAAAAGTAAATACAACAACACCTAAAACAAAAACTATTGTTTTGTAGTCTAGACAATGAAAACCTAAAACCAAGGGATCTCCTAACTTCAGTAATGGCCTGTAACCCGCTCGAGTCTGGCCTGGCTCTGAAGAGTCTAAAAAATCCCAAGCAAAAAACTTCTACATTAGCCGAATAGTTGAGAAGACAAAACATAACAAGCGTTGTATTAAACTAAAGATTTCTATACAATTTACAACAACAAAAACAAACATTTTGTGATGTATTTTTCTTTTTTATAAAAAAAAACATATTTTTTGTGTACATTTTTTCCAAATAGTTCCGTAACATTTACAAAAATAACAACAAAATATTACATACCGACACACACACACAAAATAAACCAAAATAAAAACCATTTTTCCAAGGCATAAAGGATTACAGGACTGGGCTGAATAAAAAAAATCAAAAAAGTGAGGTTATGGCAATATTTTTTTAGAAAATAAAAAAATATTAGTTTAAAATATCTGGGAATTTTGTATTCAGACAAAATTAAAAGATAAATTTTAAACATAACCCCACTTCTAATAACTTTGGAATCCATTAATTAGCTCAGTGTCTTTATTCTTTAGCTCCAAGAAAATTGGTTGGTTTTCCTAAAAACTCTAATTCTTTTTCTACGTTGGTCTTAAGTTTCAAATTCACACACACACAGTTTTATACAATGTTATATATACAACTAATTATTTTTGTTATATGTTTTTCATTCTTTTGTTCTTTACAAAAAAATTAAGCAGAAAAAAACCCAACAAATCTTTATAAAAATTTTGTAGCTTTTTAAAGTAAAGTAAATTTAAAAAAAAATATTCGCTTTAGTTGTACAAATTATAAAAACAAAAGAAAGAAAAAAAAACAAAACAAATTACAAATACGAGTCGAAGCCGCAAAGAGAAGGTTTATATAGTTTAAAATATAAATTAATTTAATTAAAAAAACAAACAACAAAAACACAACAAATGTATAAACTATTTAATATATAAACTTAAAAAAACAAAACAAAAAATACATAATAATATTATTATAAACAAACTATATTTAAAAAACAAACAAATTAAATTTATTGTGAGGTTATGTTATTATATATAGGTAATAAATAAATAAAGAAAAAAATCGTATCTTTTTTTTAAATTAATAATTTTGTATAAAAAAACCAACAAAAATGTTATGTTTAATTAAATTAAAACGAGTCATGCTTTAGCAAAACAACAAAAAAAAATAAACGAAAAAAAAAAAACAACAAACCAATTTGAATTCATTTATTACAAAAAAAAATCAAAATTACTTCTCCAATATTTGGCACAAAATGAGAAAACATTTCCCCTTGCAACTCCCAAAAGCAAGGCAAATTCATTTACCAAATTCCTTAGCATACCTTCAGGCGTAAATTGATTTGCTCTTCAAGCAAAATCCATTGAAAAAGGGAGGAACTAATAAAACAGACATGGCTAATAACCAAGAAAAACTAAAACAAAACAAACTGGAGAATTGTATTTATTTTTAAGTACTACAATAATAATTATTAATTATTATTATAAATAGAAGTTTAGCACCTAAGTTTTGTAGTTCGTATATACAAAGCCACAGTCACATTTACACAGATCTTTACAATACAACACATCCAAAAACAAAAAACAGAACAACAGCTCTCCAACAACATCAATAACTCCGCTCCGCTCCCCTTCCCCTCCCTCTTCCCTTTACAACCCATCCATAAATAAATATATTAACTATAAATATAAATATATTTACATCATACTGCTAAAAAGGTAATCATATGTGTTATAATAATATAATTTAATAATTTTTTGTGTATAAAGTAATAATCATACCAAACTGGGCGTTAAGGAAGTTGAACATATTTTTTTCAAATACAAACAATAAAAAAAATAAAACCGGAATAAAATGAAACAAAAAAAAAAATTATCTAAAAATTCAAGTTTGAATTGTTTTTTATTTTGTTGACGGATATACGACTACTATGTATAAATAAATGGAAATTTTGGAAGTGAGTATATATTTTGAAATTTGACCTTTTTTGTTTTTTTTTTAAGCAATAAGGAGGTTAAGTAGGTTGGCTGAAATTGGAACAATAAATTGCAAGCGGATGTAATATTTACCCCAAAGCATAGGATTTACAAAAACTTTGGATATCCCATTCAGTCGGTAACGTAGTAGAGCCAAATTATCCATTTACAAAGCTGAACAATTCCGCCAGTTATGACGGATTTTTTCTTTTATAAAAAGCGAATCGACCTACCGGATTATAAAACGACCTTCAGTAAACTCCTGAATTTTGTAGAGAGATCCAAATTGCAGCTACTTATTTTTCAAATAGTTTCTTAGACATTGATTGGTCTGACAGATCGAGTTGGGACCAAGTGAGTTAAACACCGTTACTAAAAAAAATTATAATCCCTTAAAATTTGGAAGTTATAGGTTGTTGTTGTAGCAGCTCGTACTGTTGCCTCCGTTTTGATTATATCTTCTCTAATCTGGCTCTGCTGCTAACTCCAAATTCAAAAAGGTGATACCGGTCGCTGTATTTATTGGGTCCACAGCGATACGGGAGTTAGGTGAATAGGTTTGGGCAGTTGAAAATGTGCAACGTGTCATGTCGGCCTGTGCCACATGCTGACCAAATATTCTCCGCATTGCTGTCAATTCGAGCTCAATACGAATTGAGGCGGCCGCACCAGGCAGATCTCAGTTTTTCCAAAAATACTCTCGTTTGTAGCGGCAGCTCTCGTACTTCAGCTGCTATGGATCCGTGACTGCTGTGACCGCATCAGAGGGAATACTTTAAACTCCTGCTTGATAGGCCTGGTGATCTAGAAGCTCTCTCTCTCTCTGGTTGTGTTTATAACACCCAAGAAAGTATTACATCGACAGACAATCTCCCATTCATGTAGATGGTAGGCGAACCACACCGGTGCCGTATAGCTTGACATCAGTGTGTAAAATTGCTGCCGGTCGGAGGCTTGTTCCTACTTCTAATCTTGTCGCTTATAGCGATATGTGCAGACGACTTATATAGACTATCGAATGTGACCCCCTAAGACCTTGAGGTCATTTGTGTTTGGAATTAAAACTCCATGGACCTGTACAGTCAGCAATAGACTCATATCCGCTGTTGATGTGTTAAATAATTTGAACGTCGTCGGATATATTCATACTCCTCGCTATGACCCAGCTGTAATCAATCCCCTGACACAGTCGTCATGAATGTATAATCATTGCTTGAGTTATTAACTTAATGCTGTCTAGAAGGCGTGAAATGCAAGAAAGGTATAGATTAAACAATTCCAGAGATATCATCATCCGTGTTGATGATCAGCTACCGGAAATCACTCGCTTATGCTGGGGAGGAGTAATGCCTGAAGCGTCTTTGTTGCTGGCGATAAAAGTAATATCGGCTGTATGAATCACTTTTGCTGGCGTCCATGTCTGGCATCCTGTCCGATTTCCAGGCATCTGGAACTATTAGAATGGCTAACGACAGATTTAGGAGTTTGGTTAGATGCTCAACTCATGGTTCTCCCAACACCATAGAGATTTAGTCAGCACCAAGCCCTTTGGATGACGTTGCGCTTTGATGACATGTCCTCCATTGTAAATTGTTGTGATACCTCCTCATCTGTGATAGATCATACACGACGTAGGATCCTTCTCTTGGTCCTGACACTCTCGGGATGCTCTATAAATTTCCGGTTAAAACAACTCGCGTTCCTCTAGAGAAGTCCGAACATCATCCGAACATCCGGATCATATGTTCTACCCATTTTTTCATCATTACGGGGAATTCTCATATTGTGATGACAACTATGAAGACGTAGACGACAAGGATGAAGACTCGCTGGGGTCTACATTAGTGCAGCAGGAAGCTGTGCTCCTGTATTCGGGTTAAACTAGAGTAATTCCGGTATGCACCCACTTCTTAAAAAAATAAACAAAAAAATTATATTTTTAAATATAATTGTATAAATGTTGTACCCTTACATTTCCATTATTTAGTAAAATATTTGTTTCAATATCCGGATCAAATTCCACTTTATAACCCCAAAAAAGAAACACACCAACAAATTATGTATTGCTAAAAGTATAGGAATATCTCACTCGTTGTATTTTTCTGAATAGATAATTTAATAGGATATTAAAATAAGCTAAATCTAAAATGAAACTATTAAAACTATCTCAAATTTTAAAAACAAAAAAACAACTAATTTTGATTACAGGAGAAAAAACTGAGCCTAGATATTTTCAATTTCTTTGTAATAAAATAAAACAAGTCTTAGGGCTCGAAAGCTTCCATTAGCCTTTACAGTAGAGGGAATACAAATACGATTGCCACAATATAGATGCTTACAGACTAAATTCTAAAATTATTGTTTTATATCATAAATCATATTTTCATGTGGTGATTAAAATGAATCCATTAAATTAAGAGTTCATTTATGTATGCAGCTAACATAAATGAATCATAAAAATATCAATGCGGTGGAAATGAATATTATTGAAAATATGCAATTGGAGTTCAGTTCATAGAACGGGGTCGTTTTAAATAAAATTCTATCATATTATCAATATCAGTAATAGTCTTTTTAGATTTTTTAATATTCGAATCCAATACACGTAAGTTGCTTGTGTAATCGGGTAGCTTGTTGAGAGTCTGTGCCATTTCGCGAGCCAGTTTCTTGGCACGTTGAGCCAGAGAAACGGGATTGCGTTTAACGCCTTTACGTATGAAAATATTCTGTAATTTATGGTCATGTAGTTCTCCAAAATCTAATACATCCCATTCGCCCGTAAACATATTCCATGTAAAGAGGACACGGCATTCATATTGGCGCCGATGGAATGCACAATTTAATTTTCGTGAACAATTCAAACAAGATGTCACCTCTTCGCGGGCTGAGAAATGGGCCATTAGCAGACAAAATAAAGTGTGCGATAAGGGACAAACCTAGGGAAGGAGACAGTTAATTATAATCCATTGAATTATTTTTAATATATATTTATACTCACATTTATCAGTTCATATGCCCAATCGTAAAAGAAGTCATATATTTTCTGATTCTTTTGACACAGGGTACTAATAACGTAGTACGTGAATGTTTCCATATCAAAAGAATGTTGTTCAATGACCACACTTGTACAACGCAAATGTTGAAATGAGGCCTTCGATATCATTTGCATTTCTGAATAACATGAGCCGTGGACTTCGACGGGTAAAAGCGTATGGTAGCCTGGAGAAATGCAGTCGTCTAAAAGTTGAAAAATAACATCAGAGCTAAACTTATATTTCAAAATCAAAAAGCTTTACCCTCTTCACTTGTTATCACTGATGCTGCATCGTCCTCTTCCACGTAGCGCCTTTGAAATTTCTTCGTACACACAGGCTTTTCTGCAATGCCACCCTGCAATGGCACCTCAAAAGATCGCATCTCATCCCGTCGTGGCGACAAGAAGGGATGTTGATAATTTGGTGATATTGAGCCACCTCGTTCCAAATGCGAACGTTTTGCCACAGACAACTGCAGTGGCAATAGGGTTCCATGAGGTTTATAACTCAACATGTGTTGTGTAGCCGTTGAGAGGCTGTAATGCGGAGGTGATTTGTGATTATAGTAATTATTGCTAACCAAGTGACGGCTTGGAGAACGCATAACAGAGGAACTACCTCCGCCACCAATGTTGCCGACATTGCCGCTACCGCCACCACCACTGTATGTTGGTGTAATGAGACCAGAAGTTGAGGGTGGAGATCGAAAGCCCAATGGTGAAGTGCAGCTATGGCGCAAGGGGGACAAAGCTGAGGGTGGCACATAATGGCCATAGCTACTCACATTTGAGCTATGAGGATGGGGTGATGATGAAGGTGAGGCATATGGCGAAAGATTGCTATGTAGATGTGTTCGATTGTGTCGTGGCGAATGACTGCCTGTGCTTGAGTTGCTCATCAAGGAACTAAATGAATTCGAGGCCGATGTCCTTGTTTTTGTATAGGGTATTATGTTCTCAGAATTATCCTCAGAAAATTCATATTTTCTTTCGGCCAGACGACGTTTTCGTAGTATTGATATTTTTTCACACTTTTCATTTTCTTCACAAAATTCATAGGTTGATGCACGGTCATTGTTCGACGAATTGTTGGCACTAGATGCACCACTTGTGGATGAGTTGGGGGAAATTGTATGAGTGGTTGTGATGCCAGATGATGAAAAGAACATAGAGACACCTTTGCGAAATGACTTGGACACAATGCGAAGCCGGCGTCTGGGACTGTTCTGAAATGGAGGTGAAGTGTTGGGTTTCATGGTGTTACCCGATGAAATAGGTGATGAAGTGTTTTGTGTGGATGGCGTATTTGTCATTGTGGACGAAATGGCATTGACACGACTAGATACGTTGGGGCCACAGGAAAGTACGATTTCTTCGCCAGTCTTTTGGCTCAATGTCACATGAGATAATGGCGACTCGGGATTGCTTAACATTGATGTTGGAGACTTGAGACCCACAGATGCCAGCTGCTGTGACGTTGTTATGGCAATGCCACTACCAGAATGCGTTGAATCAGTCTCAATATCAGGAAAGTCTTCAATTATCCGATTTACAACATTGCTCTGAGAGTTATTGGTTGTTTGACTGTCTACACTGAAGTTATCCAAATCTGTGTTGGGAGTAAATATGACGGGTGTATTGCGCTTCTCCAGCTGCTGGTGGGGACTTAAATCATTGATAAGTTGAGTAGGCGTCGATGAGCCTCCACATGTCGGTTTCATCATTAGCACATTTATCATATTCTGTTGTTGGTGCTGATGTGTTATAGTCACGGCAGCCTGATGATCTTTTGGTGGTTGCTCCAAACGAATGTGAAGCATATGGAAGAATCCATTGGCAATTATCAGTATACGTTCTGGGCAAATAAGATGCATGTATGGATCGAATTTACAGTTCGATTCGTTTGGTGTATATTTTGTGTGAACAGTTAGATTACATTTAATGCAGAGGACATTTCGGCGGAAAACTGTAAAGCATGAAAATTCAAGGTTAGTATGAATGCCACAACAGAGATCAAGCAATGGAATTTGAGTTGGTGGAGCATGACCTCCTCTCCGACAGGACAGCTATTTTACAGTGTGTACACAAAGTACACAGCTCATAAAATAGCACTGTTAAAAAGCAAATATGCCATGATAGGTACTTGCCTTGAAACATATTTGCAGGTTAATTTTCATGTAATTAAAAATAAAAAATCTCAAATTCCATCCACACACATCGCATGTAAAACAACGAAATATACCAGACTATACTTACATCCTTCCTCCTCCTCAGTGTCTCTATGTTTTCTACACTCTAAACAGCCCAATTTAGGAACTTTAATATATGTTATATAAGAGTCTTCGTTTTCTTCCTCGGAAGCACCGTGCACTATTAATATACGAGGATCCGTGTTCTTCCATTGTATCATGCTAACCTCTTTTATATTATCAACTCCATGATCATCAAATAGGCAGCACTGATAGAATATACGTAGAGGTTTGTGCGGTTGAAATATCCAAAAGTATAAACTGCAAGAAAATAAGATATTTATAGAATGCATAAGAGATAGATATGACATGGCATCCATAACATACGTGTACTTGTAACCAATATTAAAGGAATAGTGGCTGGTGTTTGGTGCACTTTCACTTGAAGATACTTTGTAGCTGAGCAGGAACTGTCCACAGGCAGAGAGGCCCATAAACATGTGGCTGTAACAATAAAAAATTAATTTCAATATCATAGCAACAATTGATAAATTCGAACTCACCCCTGCAAAAGCCCAGTTGGAACTATGTTTCTGAAGCAGAATCGTAGTCTTTTTGGCACGCTTGTAAATAAAGGTTTCGAATTCCGACCATAACCCAGATTGCCCATGTACTTTAAAGGATATAAAAATATGTTAACAATTATTTATCAAAAATAATTTAGGCAATACTTACTTCTCTTTGCAATAGCTTCCTGGCCAAATTACCCTGAGTACATTTACTAAAATCATCTCTTAATCTTGCACCATTCCCTTCAATCGCCTGGGCTGTCTGACCATGACGAAAAAATTGCCTTTGCAACTCCTCCCTATCGTCATCATCGATATCCGTCTCAGAACTTTCGGCCATAGAGAACTCCTCCTCTTCTTCATCTTCTTCCGATGAAGATAAATCAATGTAGCCATGACTACCGCTGTGAATGCTGTGGTCCATCTTTTACCCCCACACACTCCTCTCTGCAGACAACGAACAAAATTGACAAATCCTATATAAAGGATACCACAGCCCTTTTTTCCAATTCCTCCTCTCACTCACAAATTTGAGTATTGGTTGCAAATTTCCAATTGTTCAACACATTTTAATATTAAATTTTCTAATTGTAATATTTGTAATTTTATTTTCGATTTTTTTTCTTCTTTTGTGTCAAAGCCAAATGAATTGCTTGCACCCTCCACTACTACCACACAGCGTCACAAAAACACAAAAAAAAAACAAAACATATGAAACCGGTTGCATGCAAAGGGAATTGATAGCCTACGTTTTAATTAAGACAATGGCAAAAAGACTTGATTTAAAACCTCCAATAATAACGTTTTATCATTTGTTTTAAAAGAAAGCTGTCTCTTACCAGACAATTATAAAAACTCGTAGATAAAATAGTGGGAAAACAAATGCAAATGCTGTTCACTTTCAAACCATTTCATAAGGTTCAATTAGTTCTTTTAAAAATTATTGTCTAATTATCAGTTGTTGGCTGAATGATATATTGATATTTAAGTCTTATGCATCAAATACGACATTTTTAATATTCTTATATATTGACAATGCACTTTTCAACTAGTTTTATACAGGAACACATCATATGTCATTGGGTAGGCAAACTGAATTGATAGCAATCCCTTGCACTTTTGTTTGCTACCTGTAACGCCAACTTTATGATATTAAAAAATCGCCAACTATTTTGAAAAATCGCCAAAACGCTTGTTATTTTTAACTCCGATTTAATTAGGGCAATATTTGCTGTATTAGTTTCTTGCACGGAAAATGAAATCATTTAGATTATACCCTTATGCCATGTTTACGTTAGAACTTTTTGTAGGGTTAACCTACTTTGAGAGTATTTATTTGAAGTAAAAGTAATGGATATGACAATTTAAATCCAAATCCAGTGGGTTAACCCTCATATATATAAACGTACTGTAATATGATGATTAAGGGCATTATCTCGATTTATAAGCTTTATCCTCCCAAATTTACGTAACAGACACAGACAAAAACAAACGACATCCTTTAAAAAAAATAGAAAAAAATATTAAAAACAAAAGTAATATGGACGTAAAAAAATAACTTAAAGTATTCCTTTTCATAAATATAAGTCATAAACTATATTTTTGAAACATATATACATTTGTAGATGTTGGTCCCCAGCTGGAAAAGAGACTACTTGAACTTTGGAGGAGCCAAAAAATAAATAGTCATGTGAATGCAATTACTGTTGCTTAAAAGCTTCCAGCCATTGGCAGACTCCGAATAATCAGATTTTGTTTTTTTTTTTTTAATCAATATTTTCATAATATTTGCCGATTTTCTGCCGAAAAACAAACAATTATTTTTGCAAATTCTTGAGTAAATAAAAAAGCGCGTATGTAAACAAAGATCGGCTGACTGACTCTTTATATAATTTTAAAATAAATAAATCGAGTCGATATAAAACGACTAGTCTCAATGGGCTATTACTCTCTCAGAAAGAATCTGCTGGACAATTCCTGCAGGAAAAGTAGCCAGACAGACCTAATGTTTTGTCGGAAGAAGACACCACCACAGAGTTGTATTTTATATTATTTACCTCCAGTGAAACTTCTCTGTTACAATGAAGTGAAAATGGTATTTTTAATCCAGAAAGTTCACAAAGCAAATAAAAATAGTACTTTCTGGAAAATTTAAAATTAAAAATTTTAAGTAAAAAAGTTTTGGACAATAATTCTTTTTATCACATTTTGGACTGTCAAAATATGACGATCGCCACATCAAAAATAAGATTTAATAAAAAAAGTAGAAATTACATATATCGTTTTTTATTCAAAGACTTAATTTTGGAAATAAATAAAATAAATAAATACGAATTTGAGTAAATATAAGAAATACTTATGTAAAATTATTGATATTTGTAAATACAGTTATCTTCATTTACTAAATGCTTTCATGGTTTATAAATTACACATTTGGAAAAATTATAAAATGCTTTAAAACATTGGATCATTGATTATGATTGGAAGCTCAAATATAATGGGAAGCCAGGTTTATGTAGTGTCATTCCTCTGCTTTTATTCTTCCTTCTATAGCGTTTTAATTTGAATACTAGGATATTGAGGGATTTTTCGTTATTTTAGTGGAAGTTGAAAACAATTACAATATTTTATATCAATTAATAAATACAACAAAAAACGGCAAGAAATACCAAAGAAGATCACAAACATTAACTCCGTTAAGCTGCTATTAGACGATAAGGGTTTTACACATGTAGTGTCAGTTTTTCCATATGTAGAAGTTGTATACATCGTGTGATACATGGGCGACATTTCAGTTGTGAAATACATGAGAAAAGTACATATGTACTTTTTCGATCGCAGCGATTCCTATTTTTATCGGAAAAATATAATTTAATCAAATAAGTTGCTGTGCCATTAAAAAATATTTAAAATGGAAATTAAAAGTGAATATGAAGTATTATAATTTTTTGGGAAATAAAATATAATCACAATGTAAGAATTATGAGTCATATGGAAAATGGCAATTTTGACATACACATGGATACTGAAAGTGACAACACATATGTAAAACCATGGTACAATAAAAAGGTAAAGTAGAGCTACCAGCTGATTAGTTTTTTTACTAAGTGTACCCGACTTTTATTAATTTTGTGTATGTATGTATTTATTGTTTTGAAAAATAAAAACAAAATATTTTCAAAAATCAATGATTGGAAGAAACGTACATTGCAGTTTGGCCATATAATTGAAAGATTGAATAGTCTGGATCATATTTTTGAAAGAAAATTCAGATATTTCATTTTTTTCGCGCTTTTCAATCCATTTTAAAAATAAGGAAAATATCAAATAAGTGAGGAAACTTGTTGCATATAATTTTTAACAAGAATGACAAGAAGCGGGCATAGCCTCAGGTATGGCAGAAGAATACAGGTAGATGCATCAACTCTTGGGAGCATTGATGTGTCAAAAAATTGAAATGTTTTTTCAAATATAAGTAGATTTTTCGGAGGTTATTATAATACGCGATTTTCAATAATAGTTACAAATTTAAATAATTTTTCATTCAACATTTTCAATTCCAAAATTGGTTTGAAAGTTCATTGTCCCAGCAGTTGTGTCGATGCGTCTACCTATATTCATCTACCATGGCCTCAGGGCTGTATTTCTGTAGTTTATCGAAGTTGTTCTACCTCGTTATTGTACCATGTGTAAAACACTTATCGTTTGATAGCAGATTTAAGAGTTAAAAAAAACTTAATATTACAGTCAAATTAATTTAATTTTTTTCATCGAAACCATCAACGGTAGTCGTTGAAATATCTCCCGAATTATTGTCGCCATTATTTTCATTTAAGTTTTCGAAAATTTCCGTTGTTGTTGTGCTGGGCGTCGGTGTATCATTTTCGTCACTTTCAACCGTAGATGTATCAGAAACCGAACTTTTTTTTGTTGATGAAGTCGTCTCAGTTATGTTGTAAGAATTATGAGTCGTGGACAACAATTGACTGAAGCGTTTCCTTTTAACATTTGCCAGTGAATGCCAAATATTTTCCCGTATGGGTTTGGGTATTTCAGCTGAGGGTGAACTATCCAAATTTAAGTCGGGTATTTGCGGTGGCAATGGTTCCTCTTCCTTGGTCGATTCGTATATGACCCAGTTGTCAGGTCTGAAATTCAAGAAGTAAGGATTTTTAAATAAATAAATAGAAAATGTTCCTTTTATTTATATATAACCATTGGAATAACTAACTAATAATTTAATCCAGACATAGGAAACAAAAGGTTCTGGAAGTGTTACATAATTTCCTAATTCATGATTTACCAACACCAAATTCCATGGTCGAATTAAGAAGGTAAAGTCATGCAGTCACATGTTAACAATTTTTTTTTTTTGAAATGATTACAGAAAATTCTTAATTTTACCGTGCCCAAATACAAACTTTCTCAATTCTGGCCATTCACAACTATCGTCAGCGAAAAGTCCACCTTAAAATTTTAGATTTGTTCCATCGTATTAAATTTCAGATCGTCCATCGTACTAAATTTCAGATGTTTAAGGTTCTAGCATGGTAAAATTAAGAAAAAACTCATTTCAAATAAGCATATCCATCTCTGCATTGTCTGTAATTTCTTTCCCATTGCCAAACCTAGTACCATTCAGTACAATTATGGTACATATTTCAAAAACCACCTCCATATCTCAATTCCAGATACCAATAGAAACCTCGAAATCAAATTTTCAGACTTGCATTTCAAATACCAAATATAGTACCATTTAGTACTTTTCGTACAATTATAGTACACATTTCCAAAACCACCTCCAAATCCCAATATATCCCAGATACTAACAGAGACCTCAATATCAATTTTTAGGATTCCAGTCCTATCCCTTCACTCATCGCCCAAAATAGTACTATTTAGTACTTTTCGTACAAATATGGGACACATGTCCAAATTTTAACCACATACACCATAAATTATCCAAATATCAAATTTCAAACTTGTGTTTCTATCCCTTCACCTAATACTTTATGTACTTTTCGTACAATTATAGTACATATTTCCGAAACCACCTCCATATGTCCAGGTTACACATGAACAGCGGAATTATAGATCTTAAGCTTTATCTGTACCAAATTAGTACCTTCGTGCGCTTGTAGTACATATTAACAAAATCACCGCTTTATCACAAACCCAACACCAACAGGGAGCCCAATACAAAACTTCAAAATGCCAGCTCCATACGTTCACCGTAAACAAACATACTTCCCAGCCATAACTCTCATACCAAATTTCAAGTTTTTAGATTTATCCCTTCGCATGCTACCAAAATGGTACCATTTGTGAAATTGAGTACCATTTTTAGAACTTTTCGTGACTCTAAAGTTCGAATTTTCAAAAATCCCTTGGTAAATTTATCTTGCTCTCCACCAAATTGCTCTCAAATTTTCACAATTCCAGTTCTATAGATTTACCACAATTCCAATTTGTACCAAATTTTGTAGCATCTAGTACACATAAGTACGAATTTTCATAACAACCTGTTTTATAGTCCAATAGAAATGTTATTTTCAAATTTAAGTATTCCAACTCTACCGGTTCACCAAAAATTTAAATTGTTCCAAATTAAGTACCATTTAGTACACATAAGAACGAATTTCCAGAACTACCTACATATCTCAGTCCTACAATGCAATAGCAATCCCTTTTTCTAAACCTCTGAATTCCAGAATTTCCAAATGCAAATGGTACCAAATTTAGTACTATCTTGTACACATTAGTACGAATTTTCAAAACTTCGTACGTATGTAGGACATGTTGGACATCAGTCTTGTAATGCAATAGTAATCTCATTTCTAAATTTCAGAATTCCAGATCTATCGGTTCACCCAAATTGAAATTGTACCAAGTAAAGTACCATTTAGTACTTTTTGTGCACATAAGTCCAAATTTCGAAAACCTCCTCCATATCAAATTCCTTCACACCAACAGTAATCTTATTTCCAATATATTGATTCACCCAAATCCAAATTGTACCAAATTTAGTGCCATTTAGTACACATAGGTACGAATTTTCAAAGCTACCTACATAACGCAGTCCAAGAATGTAATAGAAAACTTATTTCTAAATTTGGGAATTTTAGATCTATCGGTTAACCCAAATCGAAATTGTACTAAAAAAAGTACCATTTAGTACATTTCGTGCACATAAGTACAAATTTCCAAAACTCCCTCCATATCCCAATCCTACACTCCGCCAGCAATGTTAGTTTCAAATTTCAGGATTCTAGCTCTGTCCGTTCCTCCAAATACAAATTGTACTAAATTTAGTACCGTTTAGTACTTTTGTATACATGAGTACACACTTCCAAAACTATCTCCTTACATCGATTCTACTCCTCAACCTTGATTCCCTTTCCAAATTTCAGCTCAAACCGTTTAGCTCTAACCGTTCACATGATATGAAATGGTACCAAATGCAGTAAATTTTTGGTACTTTTCGTACTGTGAATTTCCCAAAACCCTTGGTGATCCTCATTTCAAATTTAAAAATTCTACCTCTACTGCTTCCTCAAATACGAAAGGGAGCCGTATTCAGTACCTTTTAATACTTTGCGTACCTTTCTAGTACGAATTTCCAAAAAACATATATACTCTAAGCTAAATCAAATACCTACCTCTCCGGCTTTGTCAACACCGTAATCGGGGCAAATGCAATTTTCTCCTGATGTTGTTTCAATAGACTCAAACGCTTTTGTATTTCCAAGAGACTAGAGCTTCCCTCGTCTCCCTCCATGTCGTCATCATCAAACGATCCCTCCTCTTCGCTCTCCTCCATATCATCGGCAAATATGTCATTATTCAACTGCTTTCCTTCAGAATCGGGAAATGCTGTGGTACCAATATTCGTCTCCTCCAAAGGATCATCTGTGGGTAAATCTTCGGTACTGTTCATGACGGGCAGTACATAATTGTCATCCAACGTCATGTTGGTGGCTGGCTCAGCCGGCAAATCTGTGTTCAAGGTCTTGTTAAAACTCTCCAACATTAGTTCCGGCCTTAGATAACCATCTCGGTTGAATTTCCTCACCAATGGCGAGCTGCCATAGTCCTCAGAATCATATTCACTTTCATCCTCCATTTCGGTGTCAGGGTCATCAAAGGCACTTATGTTTAGAGTGGGATTGCGGGTACGACTTAGATAACCATAATCTCCCAGTTGTGGATCTCCATAGTAGGATAAATCTTCCTTTAATTGGGGCCTTGTCTTTTTCCTTATGTAGTAAGTTTGGGAATTGGAGGTGGAAAATGGACTGGGTATAGATTCCCGGGGTGGAACTTCATAGGGATTTTGTTCGGGTTTTTCGTTATACCATGGCTTGGCAGCTGGAGGGGCTGCAACAAGACCATAGCTGTTCAGGCCATCAATGGTGGGCCGATTAATTTGTGTCTTATCCGGTTTGGGTCTAATATTAAAGCTGAAGGTGCTATCCGCCCCATTGGCACTGGCAAAACCGGTTATACTGCCATATTGTCCATTGCTTATGGCCTGGCTGGAGGCCTGAACCACTCCGCCATTCAATTGGGCTTGGCTGAAACTTGTGGCGGCCGCCGGACGTTTGTTTGGATAGTTTGATGGCAAAATGGGCCGTGACAATACACCCTCATATCCTGGCCTATCATTGGGATCTATTTCGCTGGGTGGTAGTGGCCTTGAACCCCCGGAATTCCAACTGACTATGCTATGCACAAAGCCCGGTTGCTTGGTTGTATAGCCCAAGGCATGTTCATCGTGTTCATTGAGGAATATTATGGTGGGTGGTTTGGTCCTTTGATTACTGGCCAGCGGGGGAGACACCTGGGCCGGTGGCGGCTGATAGTAGCCATACAAGGGTGTGGTGCTGGGGAAAACACCAAAATTACTGGTATAGCGATCATAGGGTTTGGATTTGTAGTTTGTACTGTAGTCGACAATGGTACTCTCCAGAGGACTTGGACTCTTGTTGGTCTGCCGAATATTGATTTCAATCTCATATTGATTATCCCCAGTACCGGACCCTACAATGACCTTGTGTGGTGGTTTGGAATAGCCAGGACGCTTTTGATATTGTCGAAGTTCCGAGGTGCGCAAGGGTTTGGGTAATTTTGTGGTGGTGGTTTTATTCGTTAGGGTCTGACTGGCATTGGCCTTGACCACACTTTGAAGGGTGGCAAATTTAAGTTTATCCTTTAATTTTTCAGTGGTGGTGGCCAGATTTAGTTTCCGCTGAACTCGCCGATGTTCTGTGGAGGGGGAATTTGCCAATGGATCTATGTCAGAGTCATTGGAATTTAGGGAAATGTCGGAATCCATGCGATCAATGGATTTAAGAGTTAAATTTTCTCCGGTGTTAGAAAAATCTTCCGCATCTCCTGGGGAATTTTCCTTGAAAGTGTCATCTCTTAGTGGTCCCTGGGAATCGGAAGACTTGTCCTCTTGGACTTCCCTCTTTGTATCTTTATTATCTTTTTCAGGGTTAATTCCTGTGGTCCTCCTCTCAGTGTTTATTTTGGGGGTTGAGTTTCGCACTCTATCCTCTTTACGTTCTTGATTTTCCACAGTGACGTTATGGTGTACTGCATCATTTTTAAAATTTCGTTTCGATCCTGAATCTTCTGTTCTGATTCCAGTTGATTCTTCTATGGAATTCGTCAATGGATTTTCCAATTTATTTTCTTCGCTTTCGATTATTTCAATGTCATCAGATCTACGTTGAATGCCCGATTCCGGACTTGAGGTCGTCAGCTCTTCTGTATGGGATGATAAAATGTCATTATTATCTATGGAAGATGTATTTGTTATTGTTATTCCATCACCTGTCTCAGATCCCATTTCCGAGGTTGTATTCAAATTCGGTCCCGGGATTAAATCTTCCTCCTCTTTATTGGTATTTTGATTAAGATTGGGCTTTTCAATGCCATTCGAATTATCCTCGGGATTTGAACCCTTTGGAGAATCCTTGCCATGAGCCACCTGTTCCGAATTATCAGGTTTCGAGTTTCCATGCGGTAGAGACATATCACCGGTACGCGATTCAAAATTTCCAGGATCATCTTCCCCTATTTTCTCTGTTGCTGAAGGCATATTATCCTCTCTCTCCTCTTGTCTCTCTTCGCTCTCTTCCAAACGATGCTCCGAAGTTAACTCTTCAGAACGAGATTCCAACTTATCGTTGGCTAATTGATTCGATGTTGGAGTTGTACCCTCTGTGCGAGATTCCAATTCCTCTTCTTCTTCTTCCACATTGTTATCCTCCCCGGACTCCGCATCATCTGAGGTCACTTCTTCGATACGAGATTCCAATTTGTCATTATCACGCCTGTTTGTAACATTCAGAGCCTCCTCCTCCGGTGCCTGACGCAGCTCTATGGGAATATTGTTTACCACAATGGTCCTGCGCGTTGTGGTGGTGTGTACCGAACCATGACGATGTGATCCTTTGCGTGTGTGCTTATCCAATTTGTTGTTGACCCCCGGTATGGGCTTTTGTTTGGTAACATGTCCTGCCTGAACGCCCTTGCGTTTCAAATCCAATTTATCGTTAATTTTGGTGGTATTTCTAAAGCGTTGAGCCAGGGTACTGCCGGAACTGGTGGGTGACACAAAGGCAGGATGACGGGTAACAGCTGAAGGGTGATTGAGGAAACCCACTTTGTTGTTGGCCAAGAACTCCTCTGGTATTGGGACATTACTTTGTAGCTCACCCTGTACAATTTCGAAAATACGATCCAGTACTGGGGGTTGGAAGGTTGTGGGCATGGGTGATACCGAGGGTGGCATGGCAGGGGGATGTGCCGGTGGCGGCAGTGGGGGTTGTGGTAACTGCAAGGGGAGTTTGGGTGGAGGTTGTGGTCTTGGTGGAGGCGGGGGAGGTGTCTTAATTTGTATGGGTGCGGGTGTTGGTAACTGTATTGGTTTTGGACGAGCTGCAAACGGATCCTGTTCCAGCCATGGCTCCAAATCGAATTCAGCCAAGGGGCCCACTCCACAGGGTAAACGTTCATTTTGTGGCATATTGGGCGGCAGGAAGATGTGTGGCTGGAATGTACCTCCACCCACCGTACGGCAAAGTACCGAGGCCAAAGTAACCCGCCGTATGGAATGCAGCTGGGCTGGGGTGAAAGAACTTTCAAAGCCACCATTTTCATACCAAAAGCGATCCCCCTTACGAGAGTTACTAAACTGCTGGGCAATGATACAGGCAAATGTTGGACCCACCAGGCCTCCCACAACTGGGCGTTCGGCAATGCCTCCCACAAAGAGATCAATGTCATGGACATTTTGATAGGCATGGCTAATACGTCTGGCTGATTCGGGGCCCACAACATTGGCGAATTCCTCCCAGGTGTTGATTGGCGAAAGGCCACAGGGCACCCGCCAATGGGTGTAGGGTGGAATGCCATGATCACGGCCACGTTGGATGTTAATGGCGGCTAGGTCCAGGCCGAAGGGGAAGCCTTAAAAATATATATTTTTAAGAGAACACACATTCATGGATTCTATGGAGCCTACCTGGCGTCTGGAACAAATGATTGGTTAGCTCAGGGGTAATAAACTCATCCCGCTGCAAGGCTCTCTGATTGGCCATGCCACGAATCAGGCGATGCAAGGAGCCCACAGAACCAATGTCACCTCTCTGAAATTCCTCATGCAAACTTACATCTGTAAAAAAATGAAGGAAAAAGTTATTCTCCAATTCCCCCAAAAGTGGCGCCCAACGTACTGTTACTCAAAACATTGTGGAAACGATCGCAACGCATATAGGAGTTTTGGACCAAAGAGTGGCCAAAACGAAATGCTGCCGCAGCAAAGGCATTGGCCACCCCAGGATTTGTCTTGTGGTCATAACCCTCATAATAACCCGCATTTAAAAGTTCCAAATCGAACAGCTTCACCACCTCTCTACCCAAAATAATGGGTAAAAATTCCCTATAGGTTATGTGCTGGAACATTGCGCCAATTATACGCCTGGTCTCCTGATAGATTTTCTCATCACTCCAATGTAAATTCATTTCACTCAGACGCAAGGCAATGTGATTGTGTTCTCCCACCCAGACATGATGCAGGGCCAACAGACCCGGTTGTTCACCACTGCGACCATCACCAGCCCTTATACATGTCGTGGCAATTGCTCCCCTCTGGCAGACATCATCATTCGGGTTGCCACGACCAAAAATCAGCAAACCATTACGGAACACCCTGGCATTATCCGAGGACTTGACACTGTTGGAATAGATGGGTGAGGCATCAATGTAGGAGGTGGCCTGATTGGTTTGTTCACGCCATGAGAGAACACAATCTCTGCGTTGAGCCGGGGCAGAACGTAAAAATTCCAAGCATCGCACTTTGAGGGACGACAGCCAGGGATCATCTAGCGGGACTTTTATGGGGAAACACGAGGGATGGAAGTCCTTGCTGCCACAGCAACTTGGTACCGAGCCATTGATGGACCTACGAAAATCATATGCAATGAAAATATTTAAATTATTTCCCATTCTCGCCATCCTACCTTGGCTGGGCCGTTGAAGTTAAATCATGATCCAGCAATTGACCCCACTGAGCCAACATTAACGTCAATGGAGCCTCACCATCACGGGCACCGTGTACCAGAAGACTGACAAACCGCGATGAAGACAATGCTCCGCCATTAACTGACTTACGCACAGAATCAACACCATCACCATATTCGGGAGGAAGAAAACGACTGAAGGGCATTTGGGCCGCACCCCAACGTGGTCGCCGTTTATTGTTACAGGTTCCGTCATGGGTGCGATATCTTTCCGAAGCCGGCATACATGTCGGTGCTTCCCGTGGCGGGCAAAGGCTTTCCAGCGATGTCCGACGCAGTGATACTTTTTGGGTGTGAGCCTGTCTGGCCAAATCCGTATTTAGATGATAACTGAAAAAGAAGAAAAAAAAGAGATTTTTAAAATATTAGTCAAGACAAATTGGGACGAGGCGGTCAGACTACACATGAACCAAATATATTCTCCAATAGTAGATTTCGACCTTATGGCTGCAGAAGTATATATCTTCCAATGCGGCCAAAATTTGCCCATTAAGAAAAATGGTCCAAACCCAAGATCTCATTGCACAAAACCAGCTAAGAGACATTTGGAGTCCATTGTGCGCACAAAAATGTTCGAAGAGAGAATTCGATTCGGTCCAAACTTGGAATATTGTAATATTTTATCAAGCTTAAATCTGGTTAATGATTGGCGATATGGGTCCACTATATATTGAGCCTCCTCACAACAGTTAAAAAAATCCAACAAAAATCTAAAAAAATCCAAACTAAGCGAAGGGAGTACCCGATGTAATTCAGGACCGAAAATAGACAATATTGGGCCACTCCTGACTATAACTTCACCATAGAAATGTTCTGTTCTGTTTCTAACTATAAAAGTAAAAGAGTTTGTTGAGAGTCACATCTGGGTCTGAGATTCTAAAAAAAGTATTGGTTTTTGAAAACGTTCTAAAAGGGTACGAAAAGTACCAAAAGTTATTAAAGGGTACTAAATATTATACCCTTAGTATTTGAGAAAGCAAAAGAGCCAAATTTGGAATGAGGGTCACTGATGGAGTTATGAAAGATGTACCAAAGGGTTTTTGGCAATTGGCACCATAAGTGCACGAAAAGTACTAAAATGTACTAAATTTGGTACCACTTTGCATCATGTGAACGGCTACGGCTATAAACTTGAAATTTGGAACAGGAATCAAGGTTGAGGAGTAGAGTCGATTTAAGGAGGTAGTTTGGAAAGCATGTACTCATGTATAAGAAAAGTACTAAGTGGTACCAAATTTGGTACAATTCGAATTGTACGTGTTGAGCTGGAATCCTGAAATTTGATATTAACATTTCTGGTGGAGTGTGGTATTGGGATATAGAGGAAGTTCTGGAAATTTGTACTTATGTGCACGAGAAGTACAAAATGGTACTAAATTTGGTACAATTACGATTTGGGTGAAACGATAGAGTTGGAATTCTGAAATTTAGAAATAAGATAGCTATTGCATTCTAGAACCGAGGAATGTAGGTGGTTTTAGAAATTCGTACTTGTGTGTATTAAACGGTACTAAATTTGGTACAATTTTTGTTTAGGCGAACCGATAAGGATGGAATGCTGAGTGCTTTGGAAATGGGATTTGGAATCGGGAGTGTAGGATTGTGGTATGAACGAAGCTTTGGAATTTCGTATTTTTGTGTCCTAAATAAAATAGTACTAAATTTGGAACAATTAGGATTTGGGTGAACCGATAGGGCTGGAATCCTGATATTGGGAAATACGATTTCTATTGGATTGTGCGATGCAGATTGTTATGGTAATTGTTCTTATGTGTACTAAATGGTATTAAAATGTGTACAAATTGGAATTGTGGTAAGCCGATAGAGCTGGAGTTCTGAAATTTAGAAGTCATTTTTTTGGGATTGTATGATTAAGGTAAGGGAGGTAGTTTTGAAAATTTTGAGTGTAGGATTGGGGTATGTAGGCAGTTGTAATAAATTTGGTACATTTTGGAGGTATTTTGGAGATTTTGAGTGTAGGATTAGGGTATGTGGGCCGTTTGGAAACTCGTACTGATGTGTAATATGTTTGGTACAATTTGGATTTGTACGAACCGATAGGTGTGGAATTCTGAAATGTTGAATTAGGATGTCAACAGGTTGACCTTTAGATATGTTCTAAATAGTACAATATGTATTTGAGCGAACCGATAGGGGTGGAATTCTGAAATTCGGAATTGGGATTACTGTTGGAGTATAGGACTGGAACTTTTAGAAATTCGTACATAGAAGTACGAAACGATACTAAATTTGGTACAAATTAGATTGAATCTACAGATTTTTGGAAATAAGTACTTCAAGTGCACGAAAAGTACGAAATAGTACTAAATTTTGTACAATTCCGTATTTGGTGAGCAAATAGTGCTTAAAATCTAAAATTTAGTTTTAGGACTGTTATACATGTGTATCCTGGTACATATGTCCATATATGTGGAAATGTGTACTATAATTGTTCGAAAAGTACTGAATGGTACTATGTATTTGGTATTGGGTGAAGGGACAGAGACAAAAAATTAAAATATGATATTTAGATTGCTCATGGTATCTGGTATGAGATATGGAGGTGGTTTGGAAATGCGTCCCGTATTTCTACGAAATGGTAAAAAATTTGGTATTAAGTGAAAATATTGGACTGAACTCATCAAATTTAATATTGAGCTCTAATTTGGTATCTGGAATTGAAATATGGAAGCTGTTTAGGAAATCAGGAATTGGAAATTGATGACACTGTTGGTATCCGCGATTTAGATTTGGAGGTGGGTTTGGAAATGCTTAATATAGCCCTGAAATCCTGAAATTTGATATTAAGGTCTCTCTTGGTGTCTTTTGTTAAGATATGGAGGTTGTTGTGGACATGTGTTCTATAATTGATCGAAAAAACCTAAGTTCTATTAAATTGTGTATTGGGAGAAGAGAGGGCTGGAATCTACCAAAAGTACTAAATTTGGTATTGGGTGAAGCAATAGGTCTAGAAACCTCAAATTTGTTATTGAGATCTCTGTTGGTATCTGGAATAGAGATATGGAGGTGGTTTTGAAAATTTGTACTATAATTGAACGAAAAGTACTAAATTTGGTATTGAGGCGAAGAATGGAGTTAAAATCCCGAAATTGGATATGGATGTCACTATTGATGTCTGTGGTTGAGAAAAGGAGCTGGGTGAAAAGTACTAAACAGTACAAAATAGTAGGCTGAGATTTTTCTTGTATCTTGTACTAAACATCGTGTTTATATAGCGTATCTTATGGCTTTGTGGGACTTACATATAAAATCGGATTAGAGAAATATGGTAATTACTAGAATTTGGGCGCCACCAGTAAACCTAAAATGAATTTATAGTTTTTTTCCACACAGCCTTCTAAGTTGTCAACTCCAGGAAGGTTGTGATATGAATTTCTGTGTACTTCAGATATAACAAAAATTCTCTTTGGCCGAATAAACATTTCTCTATTTTTTTAATGTCGCATATTACATAAGTAGCTCATGGCATATTTTGTGACATATCATAAAGAGATGCCAGAGGCGCACTCGAATCCTGCCAAGGTAATGTTCTTATAATTTGTTATTAATATGCCTAGCCATGATGCCAGGCTGCTTATGTATCTTTAAGTAAAAATAATTCAATTTTTTATTGGTAACGTATGGCAAGGTAAAATCAAAATTTTATTTGATACCAAATGCCAATAAAGCCATTCAAAGAAAATAGCTTGAAAAAACAGAATTACAATGAATCGATATTTGGTCATATCATTGTTTATTCACTTGTAAGCAACATTTCCAAAATTACTTACAAAACCACAATAATAAAGAGGTATAAGGCATTTACTCTTGGTATCATCGTAATATGGCCATAACGTCTAGCTGTCTCTCGATGGGCCAGCAAGCTAGCTGGCCATACTGCACAAAACCTGCAATACACTACAATGAGGGAAGAAAGAAAATCACGTACACTAAACACATAGGCACGCACACAAACAAGTGTTCAAACACGCGCAGTGCAATGTGACCGAGACAAACGAAGCGAAGAGATAGAGGGGATGGTGATTTTAAACAGGGAGGGCCAGTGATTAAACAAAAAACGTAGTCCCCGACCAACAGAGCGGTCATTGAACCTCCATTCAACACTTAAAAAAACAGCAAATAAGCCATTCCAGACCGCACACACACACAACAATCCATTTGCACACGGATATACCACTCACCAATAATAATCATCCAAATGGAAAAGAGAAAAAAATAAACAAAACTTAATATTTTATTTGTATAGAAATTAAGTTTTAAGTAAAATACACACACACATACATGTATGCATACACCGACAATCCCACCCAGTCATTCATTCATATTCGCCAGTTAAGCATTTGCACATGCCGATCTTTTATGGGGGTTAACATGAAGAAATCGAAAGTATTTTGGGTTGATGTAACCAATTATGAATGATCAAATTTTAATAATAACAATCGAATCGACAGTAATAAGCAACAACAGCAACAACGATGATAACAATCAAACCACCAACCGACCAACCAGCCCAGCATACCAAAGCCAACAACAATCAAAACTTTATGATCAATGCATGGGGGAATGTATTGGTTTTGGCGTTGTTGTTTCTTTTGCCAATACACACGAGTATGGCCCAGTGTGTATGAGAGAGTTCCAGGCGAATGAGTAATATTTAGTCATCGTAACTGACTAGTTCGTCGTTCGTTGCCAGACATTCTTGTGTTGTTAGTGTGGCTATCGAATGTGTGGCTAAAAATGGCATTTCTCAAAACAAAAGACCAAGACCAAACAACATCATACTTGACAAAAATTAATTACACTCCAACAGTTTTACTTTCATCATTATCGCCTTTGCCTTTTAGTTGTTATTCTTGTAGTTGAGATAAACATCGTGATGATCATTTTATTTATATTCATAAGGTACATACATACATATATATTAACATGTGTATGTGTTTATCTGTGTCTTTAGTGCATATTTATACCCTACACCGCAAGGTGGTCAGGGTATTACGTCTTTGTGCATTTGTTTGAAACAGGCAAAAGGAAACGAGATAGACCCATAGTTCCTTTTGATGATCTACATAGAATCACATTCTGAGTCGATCTATGCATGTCCGTCCGTCCGTCTGTCCATGTATTTTTGTAAACTAAGTACAGTTCGCATTTATTGCCCTATCCAGATGAAATTTTGCACAAATCATTTGTTTGGCCCAAGGACGAACCCTCGTCCGATTTGCCTTTTATTGTGCACCAAACGTGTAATATCAGCCCGAATAGTATGAAATTTTGTACATACAACCATATTAGGCCTGAAAATAAGAATGCCAAATTTGATCGAAATCGGTTCAGATATAGCTATAGCTCCCATATATATAGTTCATCCAATTTGTTTTTTTTTGTCCTCCGCAGCCGTAATATGCACTCTGTAACAACAATATTTCGGAAAATATATCAAATACAGCTCAGAAATACATTTGCTAAATTTTATCGAGATCGGTTCAGATTTGGATATAGCTCCCATATATAACTTCGTCCGATTTACCTTTTATTGTGCACCAAACGTGTAATATTTGCCCAAATGGGATGGAATTTCGCACTTACGACCGAATTTAGTCTAGAAGATAGTACATCAAATTTTATGAAGATCGGTTCAGATATAGCTACAGCTCCCATATATATTGTTCACCGATTTGTTATATTTGATATTTGTCCCCCACAGCAGTAATATGCACTCCGTAACAACGATATTCAGTCACATATATCAAATACAGCTCAGAAATCTCTATGCCAAATTTTATCTATATCGAAGTTAATTGTGCACCAAATGGGCAATACAAGCCCCAATTGAAAAGATAACAATTCTTCGGCAAATTTACAAAGACCTAAAATGGTAAAGACTAGACAAAATGCATTTTGAGCAAATGGTTTGTGTCTACAATACATAGATTAACAGCTCATGGCAAAGACATGTAATATAAAAACCACAATTACAGAAACGGATAATAAATAAAAAATTGAAAAATCCAAAATTTGGGTTTCAAATTTTTATTCTATGTGCCTTTCCGAAAATTTGCATATTGTCTTAGCGGTTTAAATCAGTTAACATTGATAACTATGTTGTTATGATACCGTAACAACAGAAGTATTTTCACAGGGTTATCATATTTTGACTCTGTCTTGTCCTATCTTTACACTTCTATGTCTTTGAAATTTAGTCCTTTGAACTTAAATTATATTTACAATCATACCTTGTATGATTTAGTTATCCCACAAAAACTTTTAATTGTTATGTGGAGCTCTACTAAATTAGCAAAGTGGTGTAGGGTATCATAAAGTCGGCCCCGCCCGACTTTAAGACTTTCTTTACTGGTTTTCATATAACAATGAAGCAGCAGTGATCGCAACCTTTCAATGATACCCAGTACACATTTTTTTGTACAGATTTAAAAATGTAAACCAAGAGTTAGTGGTTTGTGTTTTCAGAAAATCCAGGGAATGAAAGTCGTGGACTAAAGTTTTGATGCAAATGCCCAATGAACATATTTCTGTGAGGTGACATACCAAGTTTAGTTGTTTTTTTTGAGGTTTATTTTCTAAAGAAGACATTTTCTATTTGGTCTGTCGGCTTTATGTTATATCCTACGCCGAATTGAGGCATAATATAGTATGTTGTTTTACAAAAGTTGGTAACATGAAATAATTTAAAAATCAGCTAGGTTCGGCCTTTTAATCCATCATCCTGAAGTAAATAAAAAAGTAAGTAAAAAAGTATGGGTCGGTTTTGCCGACAGATGTATACCCTCAGACAATGTTCGATTATTTTAAAATATTTTGACTGGGAAATCATAAATTCCATATTCATCTCAATATTCTGGATGGGAGACATATATTTACACAGATAAAAGTATTGAAAATTTTGTCCCTTTGTAGGTGAGGCACCAGGGTTCGCGGATATATACCATCTTCACAAGAGATCTTGTGTTAGGAAAAATGTTTGTATGTGTGAAATTTGAAGAGAGTTGGATGCTTATTTCGCCTTCTTTGTTCGATCTCTACAATCTTTATAACAGATCTTTTGTTGATGGAAATATTGAGATATACCAAGTTTTAAATGGAATCGGATGTTAATTTCGCTTTTTATGAATTTCATGAATATTCAAAATTTTGAGCGTTTGGGGGGGAGGTACCAGAAGGAGTGGATCGATATTGTCCATTTTCACACCTGACCTAGCAACGACGCAAATATTAGGATTTACTAAGTTGGAGCAAAATCGGATCATAATTTCTCTTTCTATTCAAAAAAAATATATATTTGGAAAATTTCGACCTTTTGTGGGGGAGGTACCAGAAGGAGTGTACCAATATTGTCCATCTCAACACCAGGCCTTGGGTTTATATAAATATTGGGATGTGTGAAATTTGAAGACAATCGGACTCTTGCATCACATTTTATGAGATTTGTAATTATTCAAAATGTTTGCTCTTTGTGGGGGAGGTACTCGAAGGAGTGCACCGATATTGCCCATCTCCGAACTCGATCTAAGTTTGATAAAAATATTACGATGTACCAAGTTTGGACCAAA